CCACAAGCTTCCGGCCGTCGCGAGAGATGTCGTATATCGTACAATGCGAGCATTCTGAAGGGAGCTCGCGCCTCGATTGCGTTCTCTGAACACGGTTGCGGCACCCCAGCAAGTTCTGACGGACGATCTGACAGATGTAGTTGTTCCAGTCCTCCTTTGTGAGGAGATCCGTCCGAGAAGGCAGCGAGACAGGGACCTGCTGGAGGATGTTTCGAATAATGGACGAGGTCGAGGCTGCGATCCGCCATTTCCGACAGGCTGCCCGAGCGGCGATGTAGTCTTCCATATCGAGATAATCGAGAATGCAATAAATGAGCTCCAGTGGTAGAGTTGTAGCCATTCTGTGCTAGTGAGGTGTTGTTAAGAGATAGAAATCACATCTTGAGAGTCCAAAGACCAGCTCATACTGCATTGGGCGAGAGATCCGAGTTCATATAGAGAGCTCGGGAAATCGGCTCGATTGTAAACACATGGTTCGACATGGTAGGGATATTCACCGATAAGGTAGTAGTCGATCACAGTGCCCCTTTTGTGTGACATAGGTGGACAATAAAGTGAAGCAGTGTGCAGCTTGTGCGTCATCAGGTACAAGAAGAGAAGATAATGATAAAAGTGGCCGTTGGGAAAGGGCACATTAGTGAGATGGCAGATGATGAATGATGATCCACCGGAATTGATCAACTCGGAAACCACCCAACCCAACACGGGCCGACCGGAAAACAACAGGCCATCGTCCAACCGGCCGAATGACGGGTATGTCGGTCTGGACTGGGAGGGTACATGGATACCAAGTGGCGTGACTGTGTAGGCATTAGTTATTGTTGTGGGCGAGGCTGGCTGGCTCTGGTTCCCATCGGATGATTCAGTCCCCCATCAGAAAGTCCCAACTGGTCACCATTGGTTGGGACAACGGTGCGACCAAAGTGATGATGATTCTCTGATGATTTCTTGATTATCTTGATGATATCCTACAGCCGTCATGGTGGTCGTGGTCGTACATGCCGGGATGGCCCTCCGTTGCGTCACAGATCAAATGTAAATGTGTGAACCCGGTAATGGGATTATGTCACTTTGTATAATTAACCTTCTTCTTCGCTAGTATTCTTCAAATAGCTAAATGTCGCCCCGCCTTAAGGTTTGGAGGTTTAATCAACTTAAAAGGGTGGCCTGCGATGCAAGTGGTCAAGCGGGCATTCATAAATGCGATGGAATGTCCTGTTCGGGATGGCGGCACATCATGGAACCCTGCGCTGCCTGATCCAGAGGCGCGCGTCCTAGATATCTGGAGCTGCAGTCTTGCATGGTCGATCACGGCGTATACTCGGGATAATCTCGGTCGAGACTCGTGGAGTAACCTGCCACTTTCTGCAGGGAGTGTGCACAGCATCAATGGCAGATTGGGACTGACTGCCCCGGCTGTGTGTAACCTACACCTTTCCAACAAAGAAGCTTGTAGGTGGCTGGAAGAAGTCCTGGACCTTTCCATCGCTCATATCATGATGTTCTTTTCTCGCTGGTAGAGATCCTTGAGTAGTTTCAACTGTTTCACACTCATGGTCTCGTTAGGAAGTCTGCTGGGAAGGTCAACGATCGCCAGTCTCATCATGGCCAGTCCGACGTGTCCAAAGAAACCCACGACCCGCTCGGCGGAGGTCTTGAGCATAGCTGTCAGGATGGTGATATGAGTATCCTGGATCTCGTCGACGGAGATGGACAAGATCTTGTGCATCGATTGCCAGAACATGGTGTTAGGGAAGGGGTTCTTGCGCGTGGTCTTGCCAAAATTGCGCAGGGTGAGGGCGGCATAGCCGGCCCCGAGAGCAGTCATGCGTTCGGCATGGGCTTGTTCACTGAGCCAAGGCCCGTCCGGCCCATCCCGCCGCCAACCCACGGCACGTCGGCCGCCTTCGGTTTTTTCGTTGCCGCAAAATCCCCACAGCGCCGGGCAAAAGACACGGTACTTCGCTAGGAGGATGTCCACCATGTGGTGGCCCTTGTAGACGAAAGCATCCAGTGAAAAGATCTGTGCAGCCACAATACCGATTGGCTCTGCATGCCCAATATTGATTCCGGCTTCTTGGAGGAGGCCAGCAATGAGGGCTTTGGAAAAGATGTTGAGGGCGTAAATCAGTAGCGCGGGGACCTTGTTATCGTCGGAGTTGGCGATCTCAGCCGGAGGGAAAGCCATGAATTGGCGCACATCCACCGACGGCTCGGCGATGGAAGAGGCTTTTTCGAGCGTTGTCCGAATTTCCTGGATCTAAGCAGCAGCAATATGGTCAGCTTATCACCCAGACCACGGCGCAAACGATGTGAAGACTCACCTGTGTCTTGTTTCCTCCCTTAGTCTCACGGAGCTGTCCAACACACTTCTTGATAGATCGCCGAATATCACCCATGTTCTGCTTCACGACTGCATTCGTCTTACTTTCATCCTTGAGGTATTGCCGGAATTTCTTCAAGTGCTGGTGAAGTTCCACATAACGGGTGTGAATCTTGACTTCGTCTTCCGTCAAGCGGCCTCCACCGACCCGACGTTGCCTCTCTGCCTGAGCCTCCTGTGCCTCTGCTGCCTGGCGCTCTGCGGCCTCTTGCTCCGCCTTCCTTGCCTCCTCTTGTTTTTTGCGCTCCTCCTCCGCACGTCGTTCCCGTTCCTTGCGTTCCTGTTCCTCTTGTGCCGCTCGCCTCTTGCGCTCTGCCTCCTCCTCCGCCTTCTTTCGGGCCTCCTCGGCAGCCTTGCGCTCGGCTTCTCGACGGGCAGCCTCCTCTTGCTCCCGTCGCTGTTTTTCCTGTCTCTCCCTCTCTAAACGTTCCGCCTCTCTTCGCGCTTCTTCCTCCTTCCGACGAATCTCCTCCTCAACTGCTCGTTGATGGGCGCGTAACGTCTCTTCAGCTTCTTCTAACACCTGGTCATGTAACTGCGCTACTTTGTCAAGGGCCGCATTATGCTGGGCTTCGCGCTCGCTGTCCAGACGATCGAGGCTCTCGTAGAAGGAACGACGCTCGTAGGCTTTGACTTTCTTCAGTTCCGTATTGTGGATCTTCAGTTGCTCAAGGTCGCGCGTAAGATCGAGAAGGAGTTGTCTTGAGGGGCTATCCACCTGGGGAGGATAGCTGAGACGCCCCATGTTGCAAATTGGTGTCGGGTCTCGGAGGTTATTGTTCACAGCTCAGAATGAAAGACGTGAAAAGAAAGCAATTGACTCAATTTCGAGATCCAGAGAGTGTTGACGGAGTCGATTGTAAGGAAACCGGATCAACAACATCGGCGTCCAAACGCCGGCAAGTGGTATTGGATGAGGATGAGATGAAGACAGCCAATGTGGGAAAGTTGACAAAGGAGCGTAGAGACGAGCTTCGTAGACGCGGACAGGACTACTTGCTGGACCTAAACATGACAGGAGATTGGCAATTAGCAGATGTCTCGCGCGTAGGCTCGGTACCAAATATTCACATACTCCGTACCGATGGCAGAGTGCGTTCCTACCCAGAAAAGTCGGTTCAAGCTTTCTAGAAGCCTTCTTCCCAGTCAATTGACTGCTAGTGAGCGGAATCTCGGCATAGGCAGCCAGAGAAGAAGCAAACAAAGGAATGAAGTTGCCGATGTCAATGGCTGGGTACACGATCCTGTCATTCCGGAACGTTTTGCGGGAAGAACAGAGCTCCGGTGCTGAGTCATCATAGCCGGGAGATGCAAACTCGTCAAACTGGTCTGCATCACCGGCTACGGCAGTACGGAATACGCACTCCGTGGTCTACGGAGGACTACTGCACCAGACCGCCTGGCTAAACATGGATCGCTCGGTTCCCACATCCCCCTCCCCCGTTCCTCGGTCGGAGTCGAGCAAACACCACGATCATCATGAATCAGACGACGATGATCTGCATTCAGATCACGACCAATCTCCTGCTGGATCAGATGAGATGAGAAGGAAAACAATTCCTAAAAACCTGTCACTACCTCTGCGGCCTGGCTCGCTTCTGACACCCTTCCTCGGTCAGGGAGGAGATGTCGACGCCTCCATTTAATCTGTCTCTCACATCCAACAGCACCTCATGGCCATGGGCTTGTCCAGAGCCCCGCCTGTTTCGTATTGTGGACCTCCAGCCTGCCCACGATTGGACAAGTCGACATCTTCGGGGAGCGTATCGATACCGCTGGATACCTCGCCCACTCCTCACTAAGACACCAAGAACACCACCCAACACCCTGCTGAGGACGGTCAGTTCGAGGATAGTTAAGGGGGAACGGACCCCAAGTCCAGACGAACCGTTATCAGTAACGTTTCGCTGGTTCTCGTCATCATTCTCTGGTCTTACTATCCATGCAGATGGGAACCGAGATGTTGAGAAGTAAGTATAGATTCCCAGCTGGGGTTCACTAAGCAATTCCCACATGCTAGATGCAGGTAGCCCTATTCTTGATGTGCCTAAAAAGTTAAGATAGGCCTTAGTGACCTGTGAGTTGAGTCCACTGGGACTCTAACCGGTAGCTTACCGCCATACCGCACGCACTCCCCTAAACCCCATTCCCCATAGGCTCCAAGCCTGGTTTAGGCGCCGCGGTGCACGCAGTGGATCATACTCCGAAGAGTGAGAACTCAATGATAAGTCAATGCCGGTGCCGGATCATCAGTCCCTGCGATTGAGGATGTCGCCCCTGAACACTCTACACATGTACGAGTATATATTAAGCGTTTTAGAAGGAAGACATTTTTGTGTGTGAAAAAGGAGACATACATACTGTGACTAGACAAGCGATCTGTCTGTAGTTGCTCGACTCAAGTGGCAAGAGTGGCAAGGCCAGTGACAGGCCGAGAACCAGAGCTGTAATGGAACCAGACCCTGTCGAGCTCCAAGTATGGTAACTTCTGGTTTAGTGACAAGTTTATTCCATCACTGATCGGATGCTGTGATGGCTGAGCTTCTTCCACATAGCCAACCTAGGTAATAATGAGACCTTGAAAGTCAATTGAAATACCTTGTCATTTTGACTCTCCCTCTCATTGAACTCACAATGACTGCGTGCATATCAATAAACTCATCATGGCTATAACTACCAACTTGTAGCTTCTGGGTCCTTTCCCCCCACATCGGACAGTGAGAGCTGCGATATCACTCACCTATTGTATGAGTACAGTACTTTGCACATACAGTACGTACAGTATCCTCCGGGTCGAGTCAGTCAAATCTACCTTAGTATACTGGAACATGAGATCTGATTGACATTTGGAACAGTAATCTGTTTGTGACTCCAACTTATTCACTTTGTCTGGTATTGTCCACGGTAGTATTCTTACAGGGTCTGCAACCTGGCCAGGTTATGACTACTAATAGCGACACTAAACGGATCTCCCTCACGCTGCCTGTCTCTCACTCACTCCTCACTCTCTCTTACATCTTCACTTTTCTCCTCCCCTTCCCCCCCCCATCTTCTTTCTTCTACATTGTCTTCTTCTTTTTATTTCACTCCCCTCCACCCTCCTCTCCTCTTATCGTTTCTTTCCTCCCCTCCTCCTCCTCCCTCCTTTCACCTATTCCCCTCTCTCCCTCTTTACTCTTGCCTTTCCTGATCATTCCTTCAGGTTATCCACCCAGTCCTCTGGTGGTAGCATTGATCGCCTTGGCTTATCTGTCATTCTCTCTCTGTCAGATAAAACCCACCTCGTCGTGTGCTTGTCGACTTTGCTGAAGGAGGAACCGAGAACATATCTGTTTTGAAATAATCGGATTGTTTTCGTGCCTTCTCATTGCCGGAAAAGACGTCAGCTCAACAGCGTTGTGGTGCAAGAATCACTTGGGTTGCCTCTTCCCCCCTTTTCTGCCACTAAATAGAGAAGAGACTCCGTTCTCTTCCGTAACATCATCTCAACAGACAGAACCCCAATCAATCCCATCACTCCAATCGTCGAGAAGAACTCCTGTTCGCTGGAGAAAGAAGAAGAACAAACGAGCTTTGCCCATTGCAGAGGAGGAAAATAACAATATATGCAAGTCATTTGGCAGAAGGGGACCAACTCCACTCTCTCCTTTGGCTTGCTTGACCGACGATAGCTCCCAAACATCCGCTTGAACTCGGTGCTTCTCTTTCCCTTTTCTCTTTTCCCCCTCTTCTTCTTCTTCTTCTTTTCTCCTCTTCTTCCTTTTCCCCTTCTTCAATCTTCTCTCTCTCTTCTATCATAACCCCACAAACCTCAAAAATACAAGTCATCCTCTGTCTCCTGCTTGATTAGTCGAGCTTCATTCCTCTCTTTCGGTTCTTGCCGTCAATCGAGGCCTTGTCCCTCATCGGGCCCCGCACGGTGTCATTTCCCCCCCATCGTGACCTTGCTTTCTCTCTGAATATATTGGTTTTGCTTCTTTGGCTTCTTGGTACTCCCTGCTTCTCTCTCAATTTCGTCGGGTCACCGCTTCTCGTTCTTGAAGTCAACCGGCTGTCTCCCGCTCCCGTGCAAAAAAAAATTAAGGAGAAGTGCGAAAGCAAATTCTCTCTAGGATTAATTTGCATCCAACCAAAAACTCCCCCCACAAAAGCTGGACAATCGTTAATTCAGGTAAGCATCGAAGCTCTCAAGATAGTCAAAGCTGCTGCGTTTTCAATCTCCCTTCTCCCATGAGCCTGTCGGGCTGGGCTCTGTTGCCTCCACATTCTCTCCCCGGTTCGCCTCGCTCCTTTCCCAGCTGTACCTTGGTTGATGTCACTTTTGTATGGGGTAATCGCAGCTTCCCGTTTGCCCACGGAAGCTCCCCCTCCTTCCGCCTCTTTCCTCATCACTTAGTTTTTTCCTTTGTCTGCCACCAATGTTCCTTCGCTGGACTTTCTCCTCGTAATGTCTCTTTCTCTCAGTCAACTGACCTATCGTTCTCCCTTCTAGTTTACCGCAACACTTCTCAGTCGTTGTTCTAGACGGCCTCCGATCGGCTTCTTCTCCCCCCCCCTATTTGCTCACCAGCGTTAGTCCATCGCTCCAACACTCTCTCTTCGCCACAGCGGGCCGATTCACAGCAGACGCCTTCCACCAGAAACAAATCAACCGGTGATCTATTCATCAGGAAAAGATGGATCAACAGGGTCAATCCGGTGTCCCCGGCCCCGCAGGGCGCAAGCTTCACATCGCTCACAGAAGAAGTCCCTCGGAGCTCACACCCCTCATGAGTAAGTCTCCTGTAGCCTTCCCTTGGGCTTCATCTTCCTCTCGACACCCGTATCTTTTCCTGATTCACACATACTGATTTTCTCGTTACCAAAGTGGAGCAATTGGCCATTCAGCAACAGATTGAGCTGCTTCAGCAGCAACAACAACAGATCGCAGCTACGCATCAGCAATATGTCAACATGGGTCTGTTACAACCACAGCAGCTAGGCCAAGTTTCGGCATTCACTCCCTCTCTTCAAGGCGGGGCTTCCATGGGAGGAGTTTCCCCGCAGATCAATGCCTTCCAGTTTCCGCAACTGGCTCAGCAGCAACTTGGTGTCGGATTGAACGCACCTGCCCAGCATTCGCATCGACGGAACCAGTCGGCTCTTCCTGGCTTGGGGATGGGACCCCCACCAGCTCCATCCTCTGGAGCCTCGGGATACTCGGACTATAACCAACAACAGAGCCATCAGCCAAAGAATGAGAATGGAGGTCATGGGCGTGGCCAAAGGGGCCCTCCTGGTGGTGGTGGTCATCAGAGACGTCACTCGCTTGCACTTCCTGAAGCTAAAAAGGCTGCTGAGCTTGCGCAACAGAAGAGGACAGCATCTGGTTTCCAGTTCCCGGCTCCCTCTGGCGATTCCTCTGACGCTGCGCAGAGCTCAGACGGCAAGTCAACCCCACCCGCGACACAGGCTCCCCAAGGTCTTGGTATGCATCGGGCCGGTAACATCCGCGCTGGCGGTCATGGTCGCAGTCAGTCAATGGCTGTTGGTGGTAATCGAGGCTCCTTGTCGGGTCGCGGCGCCGGTGGCTTCCAGTTCCCTGCTTCCAATGACAGTGGTTCTGATAACCAACGCCGTGGCAGCCAGCCCGGTCACGCTCGGTCTGGATCACGGAACTTTGATAGCAACTGGCGCCAGCCTAATAACCAAGCTCAAAGCCAGGATCAACAGAAGAGCTTTGGACAGCAGGGCAGTGGCTTCCAGCCTGGACATCGTGCTCGTGCATCCATGAACCAATCGATTGGGTCCATTGGGCAGTTCCAATACCCCACACAGCCCCAGCTCATTCAACTGCCCCAAGGCCAGGTTATGATGGCTCCGCAGATGTTTGGTAGCCAACAACAACTGAACCCCCTACAACTTGCTCAGCTCCAGGCTCTGCAACAGAATGGACAGCTCAGCGGCCAGGGCCTCGGGCTTCAAGCTAGTCAGCACGCACCGCCACAGCTTTCTGCTCAACAGCAGCAGCAACAGCAGCAACAGCAGCGGAAGACCCTCTTCACTCCTTATCTGCCCCAGGCGAACCTTCCTGCCCTGTTGAGCAATGGCCAGTTGGTCGCTGGTATCCTTCGTGTAAACAAGAAGAATCGTTCTGACGCCTATGTCACCACACCAGACCTAGATGCCGATATCTTCATCTGTGGAAGCAAGGATCGCAATCGTGCTCTTGAGGGAGACTATGTTGCAATCGAGCTTTTGGATGTAGATGAGGTGTGGGCTCAGAAGAAGGAAAAGGAGGAAAAGAAGAAGCGCAAGGACATCACAGACGCCCGTTCCGGTAGCAATGCTGGAAATGACAAGCTGTCTCGATCTGATTCCGGCGCCAACGGTGACCGCCAGGAGGTCGGCCCCGACGGCAGTATCCGTCGCCGTGGCAGTCTCCGTCAGCGACCAACCCAAAAGAAGAACGATGATGTCGAGGTTGAGGGCCAGAGTCTTCTCTTGGTTGAGGAAGATGAGATCAGTGACGAGCAGAAGCCCCTCTATGCGGGACACGTCGTCGCCGTCATTGAGCGTATTGCTGGGCAAATGTTCTCGGGAACCTTGGGCCTCCTTCGTCCCAGTAGCCAGGCGACGAAGGAGAAGCAGGAGGCCGAGCGGCTAGCCAGAGATGGTGGTCACGGTCGCCAACAGCAGGACCGCCAGCAGGATAAGCCCAAGATTGTGTGGTTCAAGCCCACCGATAAACGTGTTCCTCTGATCGCCATTCCCACCGAACAGGCTCCTCGAGACTTTGTTGAAAAACACCAGGAATACGCCAACCGAATCTTTGTTGCATGCATCAAGCGCTGGCCAATCACATCTCTGCACCCATTTGGTACCCTTGTCGAACAGCTTGGCGAGATGGGCGACTTGAAGGTGGAGACCGAAGCTCTGCTGCGGGACAACAACTTTGGTGGGGATGAATTCTCCGACGCTGTTCTCAAGAGCATCGGTTGGGAAGACTGGACAGTTGCCAGTGAGGGTGACGCTCTGCTCGCCTCCCGTCGGGACCTGCGCCAGGAGACGACTTTCACCATCAATCCCAGTGGAGCCAAGCAGATTGACAATGCGTACCACATCAAGCCTCTTGCGGATGGCAAGGTGGAGATCGGTATTCATGTCACGGATATCGCTCACTTCGTCAAAGCCAACTCCCTTGTTGATCGGGAGGCTAAGAAGCGAGGCACGGCTGTTTACCTCATGAACCGACTTGTGAACATGCTCCCCACCCGCGTGTCTACTGAACTGTGTGCCCTGCTGCCAGGCGAGGATCGGTTGGCAGTCAGTGTCATTATCAAAGCCAACCCCGAAACAGGTGCTATCGACGATGACGTCTGGATTGGCAAGACCATCATCAAGAGTTCCGGTCGCCTCAGCTATGATGATGTCAATGCCATTCTTCAGGGAACTTCAAACGTTGCCGCTCCCGGTGTCGCCGCCGACACTGTCAGAGCCCTTTATGTAAGTGATCTCCTGAACTCGACCCGCAGTATCTCGTCTGGTTTTGGCTGAGCTAATGACATCGTCTTGTAAATAGGCTGTCACTTCACGATTCAAGGAGGCTAGATTCGGCAATCGGATTTCGCAAATCCCTCCCCTCCGTCTTTTGTACCAGCTCGATGACGAGAATGTGCCCGTTGAGGGTAATATCTTCGACTCATCTCCTGTCCGTGAGATGGTCGAGGAACTCAGCTTCAAAGCCGACTCCTTGGTAGCCCGTCGCTTGGCCACTGCTTTGCCTGATAGGGCCTTCCTCCGTCGCCAAACCCCACCCAACGCCCGTCGTCTTCAGCTTTTCGTTGAACGGATGAACAGACTTGGGTTCGGCCTGGATCCAACCAGCAGCGGAACCCTGCAGAGCAGTCTCTGCAAGGTCCAGGATGATGATTTGCGCAAGGTCAGAAGACTCACCCTTCTTGTTGAGCATATGAAAGTTCGTCACTGACAGTAATAGGGTATGGAAACGCTTCTTATGAAGTCAATGCAACGTGCCAAGTACTACGTGGCTGGCAGCACATCTGACGACCAGCGACAACACTATACACTCAACTTGCCAGTATATACACACTTCACCAACCCGTCTCGCCGTTATGCGGATATGCTCGTCCATCGTCAGTTGGAAGCTGTTCTGTCCAACGGTGCTATTGAGCTCTCAGAAGATCTGGAGTCGCTGAACAAGACTGCTGATCTTTGCAACAACAAGAAGGACTCTGCACACAATGCCCAGGAGCAAAGTGTTCACATCGAAGCCTGCAGAAGCATGGACAAAATCCGCCAAGAGCATGGCGGTGATCTCATTAGCGAGGGTATCGTTCTCTGCGTTTATGAGTCTGCCTTCGATGTTCTCATTCCAGAATATGGATTTGAGAAGCGTGTTCACTGTGACCAGCTGCCATTGAAGAAGGCCGAATTCCGCAAGGAGTCGCGTGTGCTGGAGCTTTACTGGGAGAAGGGAGTGCCATCATCTGCTTATATCCCTGAGGACGAGCGGCCGAAGCCTGCCAACTCTCGCGCAGCTCAAGCTGCTGCTGCTGCTCGCGAAGCTGAGGCTGCACGTGAGCGTGCTCGCGAGCGCGAAGAAGCAATCCGTAGACAGACTGAGACTGGCACCATGTCGCATGATGACGTGGACGCTCTATTTGACGACGATGACGACGTTTCCGAAGTCACCGAGATGGCTGCGGGTGTTTCATTGAACTCCGCTGTCGACCGTTCCACCCAGAGCATGCCACCTTCGCCTACTCGCAATGGTCATCTCCCCCAGGCGCCTCATCGCACACGTTCTGATCCCAAGATTGCGACCATCAGCGGCGATGCTCCTGAAGCCAAGTTGACGAACAAGGAGAAGTACCTCCGGCTGTTCAAGCTCAGAGAAGAGGATGGCGAGTACATTCAGGATGTCACCGAGATGTCTCGGGTGCCCATAATTCTCAAGACTGATTTGAGCAAGAGCCCACCGTAAGTTTCTCCCCAGTTACCGTTTCTTCTTAGTCTCTTAGTCGAGGTCTCAAGCTAATCGCGATACAGATGCCTCACTATCCGCTCTGTTAACCCCTACGCTCTGTAATCGGGGCCGTACATCATATGTCTTCTCTGGATGTGTTTTACATGTTTACAGTACAGATTTGACCCTTGCTTAGCGGATTGTTAGGGTGGCTGTCTGATGGTGGTCGTCCAGTTTGATTGTCTTCCATCAGCTGAGCGAGGCATGAATTCCTTCGGGTACCACCTCATGCTCATGGTCGTATAGCTTTTATCAGCCTAGCGTGTTATTTTTTCTTATAATGTCTGAAGGTCGTCCTGGGAGACAGGGGCAAGTCTAACTCGAGTCTTTGCAGCAGGGCCTCGTGTGGACCTGACTCAAGAAGATCGAAGTGTAAATCTCCGTGGTGATGGAGGGTTATCTTTACGTGTTGCCGATCATGAAGATCCGAGGGCTAGATGCCTGATCTGATGTGACGTGACGAGAAGGGGTAGTTATCTCGGCCAGATCGAAAGCCAGTCAAGCGCAATTGCCTCGGCAAATTTTGTGAATTCATCATTAGATATTGCATAGTTTCAAACAGCACATGTTTCACACACTGACTAATTGTCGGATAGAACTCGAGGGCACAATTGTAGCCAAGCGATTAGTTCAACGGTTTTCACACTCAAGCAGCTAAGCGGTGACTGCGGTAGACTCGTTGAGTTTTGCATACAATATTCAAGCGGACTCCCAAAACAGGTACAGTCTATCACATGCGGTCGGGGTGTACTTCTACAAATCCAGACATAGTAAACGCCAGGCTTAAAAAGACGAACAACCAAACCCATTCCAACAGTCTCGTGAAACCAGCTCCGCGATGGACATAATGCTGACAACCTCAAATACAGAAGCGAAAAGTAAGGAAGAAGGCACAGAGGTTACAACCTCCGTATCCCAATCCTCGGCTTCACTTTCTTTCCCGTCCCACCAGCCGATGCCGACACCTTCCTCGCGCCCAATGTCATAGATCGGAGCGGTTTCGAACTTGAAGGGACGGACGCGGAGACGGCACGTCGAGAAGACATAGTACCCGTCGTCGGGGTAACAGCAGTAGTGGAAGGCTCCAGTACCGAGAGCGGGGGATACTGATGCGACGATTTTCCAGGGGAGAGGGTCGACGAAGCGGAGGCGAGGAAATCCTTGGACAGGGGGTTCTCCTTGCCGTCCCCGCTCCGTCGGCGGCGGGTTTCCTCGTCGTCCGAGCCCGGGGACGAGGACGGGTCCTCGAAGATTTGGAGGTCGATTGTCGCTGCTGCTGCTGCTGCTGCTGTCGCCGCTGCCGCCACCGTAGGGGTGGAGGCTACTACGTCGTCGCGGATGCGGCCGGAGGCGTTGACGCCTTTCATGGGGGAGGCGCCTCGTTTGGGGATGGAGAGTTTGGGGGACTTGTTGCGGGGTTGTTCGGGGGAGGAGGGGGAGTGATCTCTTTCTCGGTCTCTGTCTCGTGTGGGGAGGGGGTGGGTTTTATTGTTGTGGTGATGTTTGTAGTAGGATAAGGTGGGAGAGGAGGATGGTGATGTTGATCTCGTTTGGTTGGCGGCGATGTTCTGGTCTGAAGCGGAGGGGTTGGGGGTGAGTTCGGGGTCGGGGTTGGATTGGTCGTCCTCGCCGTCGTCGTCGTCCATGTCCATTGGTAGAATTAGGACGGAGAGGGGACGTTTACCGTGGATGTTTTTGCGGAGGGTTGGGGGTGGGCGGTGGCGGACTGGGGAAGGAGATAGCGAAGGGTCGTTCTCTTTGCTGGCGTTGGTGGAGGATTCGGAATCGGAGGGGTTTTCATCGTCACCGTTGTTTTCTTCGTCGTTGGTAGCTGGATGCGTTTGCTCTTGGTGGTGTTGGTGACGGAGGTCTTTTTCGTGGTGGGTAAGGTGATCGGTTGTGAGGGCTAGAGAGGGTTTGGGTAAACTGGGCTGGCTTGATGACAGCGATGGCGCAGCTGCTGAGACCGTCTGAGGGGTTGTGCTGGATTCCGATTCGGGGGTATTTCTCGCGCTGGTCTTTCGAGTTGTCCGTTTCTTCATCGTCACGGACGTGATTCTGGTCCCTTTGCGTGGACGCAGGGTGCGGGGTTCGTCTTGCTCGACCGGGATCATGGTGCCCGCGTCTTCACCCCGCAATTTCGCTTCGGCGACTGCGCTCTTGAGGTCGTCGGGGACGGGAGCATGAATTGAAGTCATCAGCTTCGCTTGACGGGCGAAGGCTTCGTAGTTTTCTTGCAGGAGGGAGCCAGAGGCGGCGTTGAGTGCGGAGTCGGGGTTCGGATAGATTAGCAGGCAGAAGATTGTCTACACGTGGGGAGCATTGGGGTTAGAGATCCTCTATTTGCAGTCATCGTGGTGACGGGGCAGCAGCTCACGATCAGCACATCCTTCAATGTCAGCGTAGGCTTCCAGTCTCGCTTCAGAGTATCCACGCAGACAGCTCCCGTCAACTCCTCCACATTGGGATGCCAGATGCGAGTCTTGAAGGTCGCCTTGGGAGGACTCTTGGGGTAATCCTCCGGCATCTTGAGATGCAGTCGCCATAGTCCCTGTGAGTAGGGGGTACCCTGTGGTCCCGCTAGAAGCGCAGTGAACTGCGTCAAATCGTCGGCGCTGGCATCATCGGGAGGGAAGAGGTAGTTGGGCGGCAGCTCCTCATGCAATGCAGCATGGTCCGCTGCGAGACGGCGGATGCTCGCTGAAACCTTTCGAAACCCTTTAGCTTAAACTGATATTCCGAATCTTTTGCAACCGGTAAGGTTAAAAACTTACCATCCTGCCTGCTCTTGGTGCAGCTGTCTGAAAAGTCGAACGCAACTGTAGTGATACAATGTATGGAAGGAAGATAAGAAGATCTCACAAGACAAGGGGAAAAAAAGAGCTAGGTGAAAGTCAGGTGTTGAACTAGCAGCAGGTGTCACTGATGTCTAGATCTCAGCGAGTGGAACTGTTTCGGAAGTTTTTTTCTCAGTTAGAGCGATTGGTAATGTTGTGACACCCAGTACTTTTGTATAAGCTCACTAGTTCAAGTAGTCACTCCAGCGACGACCCGACAGCCCATTTGTTTTGATGATGTTTAGTGAAGCTGACCGACGGCACTAGACCCGGCTGGGTCTCAAAACAACACGCCCGCACACCAGCCAGTCACGTGTGTTTCGCGTATTCCGCGCGTTTTAGGAAGTGTAATTGGATTAGGTAAGGTGTCCCAATTGGGATAGGGGCGAGTGCGGACCACCTCCCGGGCCTCTTGAACAAGTACTAAACAAGTGGAGGAGTCTCCATAATTTACTATGGACTATCGATCAAGGTGCCATTGACTATTTCAACGACTCTAACAGGATCTATGAAATGGAATTGTGGACAATTGAGATACAATGCTCACGTCCGTCACCAAAAGGTAGGTCTCCTCTTTCCGTTATTACATCTGGCTGTTGTGAAGACACGAGGGGGATTCAGCTACAAGAGTCTACCGTACGAATGACCAAAACCTGCTGAGAGAGAATTGTCTTGTGTATTTACCATGTACTCATTAGGCGATTAAAAATTACTAGAGAAAAAAACAATCAAAAGCTCTTATGTACGCCGCAGTCATGCAACTTTGGTGAACAACAAGGATCGGCCTTGACATCAAACAGGAGGGGGAATGAGAAAGAATCAAACACAGAAAAAAAGACAGCCTTCCCATCAGTGGTACAAGTTCCTCCGACCGAGAACCGTTGATATATTCAGGTTGTTTTTCGACCTCGGTTTGCCTGGCTAAATGGCCGTAAACACGATGTACAACTCGATGTCTAGTGCGAATCATCGAAGCGGAAGAGGTCTTTGACCATCGACGAGGGGAGGAGGGTATTGCCGGCCCCTTTTACAAGAGGGCAGCAATGGCAGCACCGGCCACCATGGACAGGCCCATAGGAGCCATGGTGGCGAGAGGCACACCGGCACCCTCAGAGGTGCTGGTGCTGCTGGAGCCACTAGTCTCGGAGGAAGAGGAGGTCTTGGTAGAGGTGGAAGACTCGGTCTTAGCGGTGGTGGTCTTGGTCTTCACAGTCGAGAAAGACGAAGCTGGAGCGCTGGAGCCGATGACAGCGCTAGAAGCACTGGCGGGGAGAGAGCCTTGGGTGGGGATGACAGGCTGGGAGGTCACAGCAGCGGGCTGAGAGGGAGCCTGGTCACAGGTCAGCACTGTTATACTTCTGTAGATACAAGAGGGAATGCTTGCTTACCACGACAGCAGAGGACTGAGCAGCGGCGAGAGCGCCGAAAGCAACCAGCAAGATAGAGTAACGCATTGTGATGGTGGAAGGTGGGTTGGATCGGGTGGAGCGATTGTGGAGGCGGAGTATGAAGATCGATCAAGAGTCACAAGCGAATGTCTCTGGACGCAGGTAGCGATTGAAGCGAATGGGTGAGGCCTTGAAGGAAACGACCGTGGGGGTTACTTTATATCACTTGAGAAAGAAAAAGGGACAGAGAGGATGACAGGCGCAGGGGCATCCCTTAAATAGACTGGAGGCAGGGGACAGCGCAGAAAGGCCGGGGCCAGGTGCCGTCGCAATAAGACGATGAGGGAATAATCCATGCTTTTTTTTTTTTTTTTTTTATTATGATTTTCGGTTTCTTCTTGTCACAATCAGCCCTGTCCAGTGTCTACACCTCCTAGTTTGTAGGTAGTGGCAATGAAAGATGGTGGGATCCACTCTGGCCAAGCCCGATGGCTCAGCATCGTTGTTCGTCTGCTTGTGGCTTTACCGGTACATAGTCCGTACTATTCATGTGCTTGAGTATACGGAGTGCTGTGGGAGTACTTAGTAGGAGTGGGTGGTCAAGGCTGGGAGGCGGGCGAGACAGAGTACGTACTACTGTCTCGGGCAACCAATGCCAAGTCTACTTGCCATAACACATCGAACGCATCATTGCGACTAAAACCACTAAAGTCGGACTAAAGACGGAGACGAGACGGGACAATCATAGACTGCAGACAGTGGAAAAAGAATTAAAAAGAATTCATATACGAACCACGGGAGGGAGGAGGTTTGCGTATGCCTCCTGCCATCTTTGCTATTTTTGGCGGTCACAGCCTGTCGCCCAGGGCTGGCCCCGCCAATAGAAGGCTTGTCCCGCCGATCTACCCATGGGCGATGGTGGTGAGATGCAACCAAATTTATTATTATTTCCTGATTGTGATTATTGAGTATTCAGTATTGTGACCAGGTCCAGTGCCCCGAATGTTAAGCTTCCTATTCGAAAGTTTTCCACCCTTAGTAACGCAACAAAGCACATGCTAAATGGATCCTTACGAAGACAACACCAACTGCTCGCATGGGCCGATGTCGACTACCATCCCAGCCATCCATTATCTATTCTTCCTATTACTGTCCAGCCCTCATCTGCATGCACTCTAAATTGAATCGTTCCATCCGAAGTGCAGTGTTAGTGTAACTCACCACTTGATCCTGTTGACCACAGTCTGAGTCTGTAGATTTGACCAGCCTCTTAATTAGCGATCCCCCAACGGGCACCGCACCCGTGGACCACGACGCGGGTCTAGCCGATGATGGATTCTCGCCCCTCCTCTCACCCTTCTCTCACTCGGCCTCTTTGCCTCGGGTGCTGAGACCGCAGGAAGTAAACTCCATATCTGGTGCTGCACCCAGCAGACCGTGCTCCGAACCGCGCGTCCGGTGACTGGACCGAATTCTCTTCAGCATCACAAGCTCTTGAGCCTCCAACCGAATACACCAAAACCTATCCTATACCAGTATACTGTGGCTGCTACTGACGCGGTCCACGTAACGACCGCCAAAAGACGCCTCATCCTCAATCCTCACATTCAGCACTGACGTAAGATCATTACGATCCCTTGAAAGGGCGCACACTACGGAGTTCAATACAGCGATTCTAACAATTGCATAACCCCAAATGAAAGTCTACTGTCTGTCTCATCCTAGCATCCTTCCAGTCTGGGGATGGAGAAGCCAAGGAGCAAAAAGGAAATGAGTCTGACACCAATACTGGGGTGCCAAGAGCATAACAACAGCTCTTTTTCTCCAGCACCTACCGTACAGAAACAGCTGGTTGAGTGGGCTGTCGTATGCCCATTGCCCAAGAGCAATGCGCATGGCCCGGGGGCCTCTTGTCGATCCGCCAATTCGAGACACTAGGGCCAGAACAGTCTACCGTAAGGTACGGTCGTATCAGGGGTGACAAAATCTCCGGCAAGGCAAATCACATTTCCTGCGCCGATGCAAGGATGCTTGTTCTCACAGGAGTCAGCATGTTTCGATTCTCTCATCCTTGCCATAGCAGTGGTCAAAGGATACAATGCGAACGGCAGCACGGAGGAAGACAAAGATTTTGGCCCGGCTGGCAAGGCGGTCACCATGCAAATTAAGGATTTCGGTCTTAGACCCTTCGATCCTCGGTAGTTGAGCGATTCTTCTTCCCATCCCGCCCTTGTCTCATCAGGCCAAGTTCGGTGGATTATGTATGACTGTGATACCCCAGGACTGCAGTGGAGCGCCTTTTCCGCCCGATGTCGCTAATTTGGACTAATTTGCGCTTGGGCGGACGGCAGCCAATCGTGGATAAGTCGAGCTTCGATCGAGGGAGGCCTCAGCTTGAAGCCGTCTGCAAGACCATAGAGCGGTGGCCGGTACTCCGTACGGTGTGGTTGCTTTTCAATTCTTCACCATTCGAAATGCGATGGAGTGCTAGTGAAAGCTTCGGAAGAGAGTGAGTGCGAGAAAAGTAGGATTATTCTCGACTCAATTCCCTTGTCTTTTTACTCCGAATCATTGTGCACCATTCTCGTACGTTCGAGAATATTTCTACTTGCTTGTTCTTCCCCCCCTGTACTCCCTTCTGTGCTCCGTACTCCGTACTTTGTAACCCTCCCCACTGTCGTGATATGTCTTAGACGAGCAAGGTCCGATCACTTTTGTTCTGCCGCTGTGCCGTCTTGGACCGCTGCGCTTATTTCCTCATTCCCTCCCCACTCAGCCAAATAGAAGGCTTGATCGTGGACTTCATTGGGTAGGTTTTCTCCTGTCCGTCTTGGGATACGAACAGAAGTGGCCCAGATCTCCATCCACTGCACCCTGAATAGACTGGCTAGCAGGCCACATGACACTTTGGGGTCAAAGAGAGCAATTACTGTACTTCTTGCCCCGTGAAGATTGCTTCTTCCAGGCGTGCGGAGCTGTCGACAGAAATCATGTGCATTTCATCTTGCACTTATTTGACATGTTAATTCGGATCTCGATGAATAAAGCACTTTAACCCGTCGATCGACTGAGTTACAAAGAACAGATGAAAAAACGACCCATCCACATAAAAAACAGGATGAGTATATGAGATACGGAAGATATTGAGGTTCGCAAATTCATCCATACTCGTACCTCTGCACCTAATGCAGACGACAAGGAAAGAGGACTCTTACGCATGTTGTTCATCTTCACTCGTCCAAAGATACCCTGCACAAGGACTACAGACAAGAACCGAGCGAGCGCTGCGTCGTCGACTCTTACATCTGCTATACCAGACTCGACGACTCGACTGCTTCATAACCGTGTTCCCAGATACCGATACTCCAACTTCCGCTTCTGCACTAAACATCCTCCGAAACAACCCCCCCCCCCCCCCCGTATATCCCGATACTCTGGACTCCCCCGGACTCGAGATTCCTCGGCCACAGGGCCAGGCATCCGTCTCTGCATGTCATGAAACCGATCGTCAAGTTTAGCTCGAGAATAATCGTGGATTGTTCTGCATGCAGCTTTACTTTACGAGGAAAAAGCGAAGCGTAGACCACCGGTTCTTGAATGGGGAACGATACGGACCAGCACGTTCTTCCCCGGCCTTCCTCAGGGGCTATGGCTGAAACACAAAATTGTTTTCGTACTGATAAAACCCCGGGATGTTTGAGTATTTTGTGGGATGGAAATTTGAGTCGAATATGGCTGTTTGATTGGGACTTCTGGAAGAATCGAGGGCTTTTTTGGAGGGGTGTATTCGGTTTGAGGTAGGCTTGAGGCATTGGACAGGATGTACCTGAGCGTCGAATGGGGCGGGAGTGGCTCGTAGACATACACACAGTATAGTGCTCGCACGTCTCTCCTCTGCATGGCGCAGTAAGAAAAGAAGCCAGAGTCTCAGCTACCTGCCCAGCAGAGAAGAGACAGACCCATGCCGGCTCACTAGTGCAGCCCCAACTCCTTCAACCCAAGCCAAGCTTAGGGACAGCACTGGCAGTAAGTAGCCCCGTGTATGAATTAGCCAGCCCACCAGACACCCAGAAACCGGTATACCAACCACAAGATCCTGGATTACTCCCATAGGAAAGGAAAGAGAACACAATATACAATAAAACCTCTTCCCTAAACAACCTACCTAGACCACTCCTCTTTCTTTATCCCCAGGGGACCGCCCCCTCCCCTTCAAACAGCACCCCCATCCACCCCAACCACAACCAGGCCTAATCATTTCTTCTCCTCAACCACCTCACCCCCCACCCCCGACCCCCGAATCCAATCCGCAAACTCCTTTCTCTTCGCCTAGAATCCCACAAAACACAGTCAGCATCAGCCTTGCCCATATTCTTCACCTCGCTTCCACCCAAGAAACCCCCCGAGGTACCCCGGGACACACAATCCCCAATCCCAAAAGCAAGCGAAACCGAAGGGAAAGAACCATACCCGAACATCCCAGAACGCATACCGCTCCTCCAACCGCCGGTACGGATGGCGCCCTTTGCCCTCGCGCTCGATCTGGCCCGCCCACTCGCTCCAGCTGATGGGTTTGAGTGTCTCGGTGCCCAGGACGAGGCCCACGGAGACGATAATTAGGGACACCAGGGCTTCGATGATGATGTCCGGCGGAAGGTGCGTGGTTGTTGTCGTCGTCGTCTGAAGGGGGTTGGTGAGGCGGGCGCTGCTGGCGCTGCTGGTTAGGAGGGTGTGTTCGTGGGCGGAGTAGCCTCTGTATTTCTTGAGGTTAGTTTCTGTTGCGGTACGTAGAAGGAAAGGAGATTGATGGAGGCGATGACAGGGGGGAGGGGAAGTTTTGTCTGTGAGGAAATGCTGAGGCGTCTGGGTATGGGAGTGTGGTGGTTAGTTGCATGAAGCTGGACTTACGCGTGGGCAAGCAACACCAACCCGAAGAGGGTGAGGACGCGGGAGAAGAATCCCATTCTGTGCTGGTGGACTGAGAAGATGGGGTGGGAGCTTGTTGTCCCGGGTTGATGATCTTTAAAAAAGCTTGCAAGGTGAGGACCGTCAACGTAGTGCAATATAGTTACTAAGATGGTAGCTTAGCTTCCTATGCCCTGGTGTCTCGGATCTGCGGAGGTGGTTTGTACGGTAGACCGAGATGACCTGGACTGCAAGCAAGCCTACCTAGTGCCTGCGGGCTCTTTGGAGGGGCTACGTACTTCGGCGGCTCTGAAATGATAACGGCCCCACGAGATTGGGCAGCATTGACCTCTTGGTTGCTCGCTACGCATTGGCTCAGCTTCGCAGCTAGCTTGCAGCTGTCTTACCGGAGTTTGCTGATGAGGGGTTGAATTGAGGGGCAATGACTACGCGCTACGAATCATGCGAGAAACAAAAATGAATTGGGTATAATTTTGTGATTTTTTTATTATTCGTCACGCCAATCTAGGCGGCTTTTATTTATTTATTCAAGGTCATGACAGTAAATTCCCGTGGAATAACATCAAATTCATCAAGAATCATTTACAGCTTCTGCATGGCAGCCTGTGGGGAAAAGAAAAGTTAGTACCGACGCGAGGTAAGCATGGCCTAAAGTGATAAAACTTACAACATCGGTGGACTGGACGTGGTCCTCGTCCTCCTCAATCTGCTGCTGGAGCTCATCCAGAGAGACCTTCTCGTCCTCGACGACAAGGTTGATCTGGAGCTTCTTGATACCGAAACCAACGGCAACGAACTTGGAAGCACCCCAGACGAGACCGTCCATCTCAATGGCACGGACGTTGGCCTCCATCTGGTTGATGTCGGTCTCATCATCTATTATTGGTTAGTAGCTGCGATTTTTGGGATGGTCAGATAATGGTAGAACATACCCCAGGGCTTGACATCCAGGGTCACGATGGACTTGGCGGCGGGCTTGGGGCCCTTGGCCTCCTTCTTCTTCTTGTACTCAGCAAGACGGGCCTCACGCTCCTTGACGGCCTCGGCGTCCTCCTCCTCCTCCTCATCGGAGCCGAAGAGGTCCATATCGTCATCCTCAGCGGCGGGCTTGTCCTTGGGGTTGGTGGGGAGCTCGGTGGCCTCAGGGCCGTAGGTGGTGTACTCCTTGGAGGCATCACCGGGGAGAGTGGAGAACTCAGCCTCGTAGGAGGCGATGTGCTTGTACCAGCGGGCAACGTGGGGGTACTTCTCGGCGTCGGGAGCACCGGAGAAAGCCTTGAAGGTCACGACATCGGCCTGGGAGGGAGCATCGCTTCGATGGAGTTAGCTAAAGTCCATCAATATAATACGACATAGTGTCGATGAGTTGGGGGAAAAAATCGATTCAGGCAGAACATGCAACAAAGTCAAGAGGTTTTCCAAGTGATCAGAAGCGCGATTGCTCGCATTGTTGTGTAATCTTGCAGCGGGGTCTTAAGCCGCCTCATAAACACGGACCAATTTGTTTTCATCATACAAACGAGGAAAGGAACCTTGAACAGGAGGGGGAAAGAGGGGTAAACATCATCATCAAGAGTGCCTTACCCAACAATGTAGCTCCGGGAAGCCAGGTAGTTGTTGGCGACTGAGGGGCACAATTAGTGACTGCTAGAGACAGAAAGGGACAGAAAGGAAGAAAAAGACGTAGGGAATGACATACGGGTGAGGCCGGCGTCGGAAACGAAGTCAGTGAAACCCATTGTGAAGGTATGTGTATGTGAAGAGTGTGGTGTAAGAAGAAGAAAAAAAGGAGGGGGAGGGGAGAAGGAGGGAATAAATAGGAGGAAGAGGAGCAGAAGGAGGGGAAAGGTGTTCTGAAGTAATTTTTTCAACCCTTCCAGGGCCCTGCCTGAGAGGTCGAAATTTTTCGGGCGACGCCCACAGCGCCCCTCCTTTTGGGGCTGCACGTGATCTCGACGGTGGACGGATTCGAAGAGCTTGGAAGAAAGCATGTCTGGAAAGACTGGCCCAGTTCGGGGAGCTTCCGCCACTCACCGTCACTCACTTCCTCCCCCAGTGGAGCCTTCGAGAACACTCGCGACGTTGAGGGGCAACCGGCTATATAGTCGTGGCGATGCTCCCTTTGCGACTGATCGCGAATTGCCAATATATAAACCATATTGTACAGTCGAAACACGCCCATTGAAGCTTGTCTTGAGCTTAAATTCTCTACACGGTCTGATCTCGACCATGTCGGCAAGACTGCAGCTATCCCGAGGTCGGTTACTCCGACCCTCGACTCTATCGTCATCGAACCGGATCCTTCAACCGTCCCAAGCTTTATTACGTCGCACTAGATTATTACCAACCTTATCAAGCACCACCAATCTTCACAGTCCTCGCTCGATAATACCCTCGCGCAACTATGCCAATGGTCGGCCTCATCCCCCAGGCGGCACGCATCGGATGAACCTCGGTGGCGAACCCGAGAAGTCAGCATTGGAACAATTCGGTGTCGATCTTACTGCTAAAGCCAAAGCGGGCAAACTGGACCCCGTCATTGGGCGAGATGCTGAGATTCATCGCACCATCCAAGTCCTCTCCAGGCGGACAAAAAACAACCCTGTCCTCATCGGAGCCGCAGGTACTGGTAAAACCGCCGTCTTGGAAGGCTTGGCCCAGCGCATTGTTCAAGGAGATGTCCCCGAAAGTATCAAGGACAAGCGTGTGATCTCCCTGGACCTGGGTTCCCTCATCGCAGGTGCCAAATTCAGAGGTGATTTCGAGGAGCGTTTGAAATCCGTCCTGAAGGAGGTCGAGGAGGCGCAAGGCGGCGTGATTCTCTTCATCGATGAGTTGCACACTCTGCTGGGACTTGGTAAGGCCGAAGGCAGTATCGATGCCAGCAACCTTCTGAAGCCAGCACTGTCGAGAGGAGAGCTCCAATGCTGCGGAGCCACCACCCTGAACGAGTACCGCTTGATCGAGAAAGATGTGGCCCTTGCCAGACGTTTCCAGCCGATCCAAGTGGGCGAGCCGTCAGTCGCTGCAACAATCTCCATTCTGCGCGGTATCAAGAACAAGTATGAAGTCCACCATGGTGTACGGATCACCGACGGCGCATTGGTGGCCGCCGCAACGTACAGCAACCGCTACATTACCGATCGTTTCCTGCCAGACAAGGCCATCGACTTGGTGGATGAAGCAGCTTCGGCCTTGCGACTGCAGCAGGAATCGAAGCCAGATGTAATCAGAGAACTGGATCGCGACATCACCACGATTCAGATTGAATTGGAATCTCTCCGCAAAGAAACCGACGTCAGCAGCCGTGAAAGACGCGAGAAGCTACAGGAAGATCTGAAAGCAAAGCAGGAGGAAGCGGAAAGGCTGACTAAGATCTGGGAGAAGGAAAAAGCTGAAATCGAAGAGCTCAAACGCGTCAAGGAAGAGCTAGAGCGAGCACGGTTTGAGTTGGAACAAGCCCAGAGAGAGGGAAATTTCGCCAAGGCTGGTGAATTGAGATACGCCACTATCCCCAGTCTTGAAGCCAAACTACCCAAAGAAGGCGATGAAGCAACAGCCGGCACTTCCTCTAGCCTCATCCACGACTCAGTCACTGCTGACGACATTGGAAATGTCGTTTCGCGGACAACTGGTATCCCTGTTAACAAGCTCATGGCTGGTGAGGTTGAGAAACTCATCCGCATGGAGGACACGCTACGTCAGTCGGTGCGTGGCCAGGACGAGGCGCTTTCTGCAGTCGCCAATGCAGTTCGTATGCAACGAGCCGGCCTTAGCGGGGAGAATCGCCCTCTAGCCTCGTTCATGTTCCTTGGACCCACCGGTGTTGGAAAGACCGAGCTTTGCAAGAAGATGGCCGAATTCCTGTTCTCAACTGAAACCGCCGTTGTACGGTTCGACATGAGCGAGTTCCAAGAAAAGCATACTATCAGTCGCTTGATCGGCTCTCCTGCTGGTTATGTGGGCTACGACGATGCCGGCCAGCTGACGGAAGCTGTTCGACGCAAGCCGTACGCAGTGCTGCTCTTCGATGAGTTTGAAAAGGCCCACCGTGACATTTCCGCTCTTTTGTTGCAGGTCCTCGACGAGGGCTTCTTGACGGATGCTCAAGGCCACAAGGTTGACTTCAGAAACACTCTCATTGTTCTTACTTCGAATCTTGGTGCCGAGATTCTTGTGGGAGCCGATCCGTCGTACTCTTCCAAGGATACAGGAAGCGCAGAACTTTCTCCCGAGGTCAAGAAATCGGTCATGGATGTCGTGCAGTCTGCTTACCCACCAGAATTCCTCAACCGTATCGATGAGTTCATCATTTTCAAGAGACTGTCCCGCGAAGCTTTGAGAGACATTGTCGACATCAGAATCAAGGAGCTCCAATCGAGACTTGATGATCGACGTATGGTTCTCAAGGTCGACGATGAGATTAAGGACTGGCTCTGCGAGAAGGGTTATGACCCCAAGTATGGTGCTCGTCCTCTCAACCGTCTCATTGCCAAGGAAATTGGCAATAGATTGGCCGATAAGATCATCCGTGGCGAGGTCACAGCTGGCCAGTCTGCCCGCGTTTCTTTCAATGAAGAAAAGAATGGGCTAAGCATTTCTGCGGAGGCTGCTCCTGAAGCTAAAGCCGAAAATGCTTGAGCAATGATTATCTCTTAACACATGTTGATCATGATGTATGGCTATTGGCGCAAGGTTGGCTGGATATCTGACTTGCTGATTTATTATTTCTCATGTCTTCTCTTTAATGTATTATAGTATCATTGTACCATATGACATGAATTGAATGAAAATTCGCTGCATTCCACTTAAGAAAATCCCAGTATCATAGTTGTAGTTGGAAGCCTTAGGCTGACGCTGTTTGTGAGATGGCTTTGCACTGCTACTCCATAAGTCAAGACTCCTGCAAACGTACCCAATCCGGATCACCTCAACATCGACTTCGGCACAATGATGAGATCTTCCGTGAAAAGAAGGCGTACTGTCTATGAGCCTGTGTCTCCCCAGGGCTCTACTAACGCCAGGTTGGCTATGCATGGCTTCTCGCAGCGTATACGCCAGCCCAGCGTCCTGCAGCCCAGTCCACGATTTCCACACGAAGCGACACAAGCACGGCAGAATCTTCCGGATAGTGATCTATCCTTGCAACCGGCCGACGATGAACTAGACCAAGTCATTGTAGCCATCGATAGCCGGGAATCTGGAACTGTGGGGTGCTCCTACTACTCTGTTCGAGAAGAGAAGCTCTATCTGCTGGGAGACTTACGACATTCAGACTCTGAAGTCATCGACAGCTGTAGGTATTGTCCTTTTTGTTGAGTTTAACAAGCTAACAATGCTCTAGTAATTCTTCAGACCAGCCCTACGATGCTTCTGCTCTCACCTCGTGTAGACCACAACGCCCTGCAAGATAGACAAATGATCGATCCAGACAGCGGTATGTTAGGAGCACAGATCAACCCTCAGAGGTCTAATATAATTTCACTGTGCAGAGAGCGGATCTTTACTTCCATTTCAGCTAGACATCCGTCCATCGCAAGAATTCGGCTACGAGAACGCAAAGAATAAGCTGGTGGCTCTGGGGATATCCTCAAAGCACGAGCAACGGATGCGGTTCCTCGTGCCACACAATGGGTTCGCTGACAGTGAGCGGATAGACTCCGAGAGCCTGGACTTCACCTTGCAAGAAGGCAAGCTGCTGCACATATCGAGCTCGATAGAGATGGAAAACACGGTGACGATCGGCTGCGCGGGCGCTCTCCTCATGCACCTGCAACGGCGAAGAGCCTCTGCCTCTATAGCTACCGACCAAGCTTCGGAGACCTATCGGGTGAGATCTGTGGAGATGTTCAGCTTGCTGGGAGCGATGTGAGTGATGGGATCTGACTTGTATTATGAGCCCAACATCTAATGACAGTGAAGGTTCGTTAACAAGAGGACTCTCTCATCGCTGCAGATCATGGAGTCAGAATCTTATCCTAGCCTTGTGAACCAAGGCAGAAAGTCCAATTTCTTTAAAGAGGGTCTATCGGTCTATGGCCTTTTTCAGCGCTTTGCGCGTACACCCCAGGGCAAGAATCGACTGAAGCAAATGTTTCTTCGTCCGAGTGTGGATGTCGATGTCATCCAGGAACGACATGCCTTTATTAGCGCCTACTTGAGAGCTGACAATTACAACCCTCTGGAGAAACTGACTAAGAGCTTCAAGCACATCAAGAACCTGCGCTATGTGATAGTGAACTTGCGCAAGGGCATCGAGACAGGAAGTGGGCAAGTCATGGGCTTCAAAACGACGGTCTGGGCTTCGTTGCTGGCCGTATGTCATTATGCGCAGTGCTCATTTCCCATGCCAATACTTACTCAGGACAGTTTGCCTTCTATGGCATCGACATATATGATGCCTTGAGAGAAAGTGCTGGTGCTGATGGACTAGCCCTACTTCAGCGGGTCAGTCAGATCTTCGGCTCCGTGGCACCTTCGCTGATGAGGCTTAGGCTATTCGTGTCTTCGAAGCAGCTCAACTTTACAGGGTGGGAAGAATGATTCAGGAAATTGTAAGTCGCCCGCATTCTTTTGTCAACCTTGGCTAATTCTTCGTAGGTTGACATAGATAGCTCGGAGGAACAAGGAAGAACGGTCGTAAAGCCCGGAATCGATCGAGCACTCGACCGAATGAAAGACAATTATGATGGGCTCAACAGCCTGCTCAAGAAGATCGCCATAGAGATTGCTGGAGAGATTCCCGAATTCTATGACATCGATGTGAATGTCATCTACTTCCCCCAGCTCGGCTTCAACATCGCGATACCATTGAACCAGGCGGGCGATGCCGCTTACAGGGGTCCAGCCGAAGAATGGGATATCATGTTCTTCACAGAGAACAGAGCTTACTTCAAGGACTTCAGAATGAGAGAGCTGGACGAGAAACTAGGTGATATTTATGGCCTCATATGCGGTATGGCGCTCTTCGTCTTTGTACTTGCTCGCAGCATGGGATCTGACGCTCTTGATTTCCTACTAGAAAAGGAGATCGAGATAGTTTACGATCTCGCGCAGAGATTGCTCCGGTACGAAAGTAATCTGCTCGAGGCATCTGACATATGTGGCCAGCTCGATAGGTAACCCTTTTCCCCGTTTTACTGACTTGACGTGTCACTAAGCTCATAGCCTCCTTGCAATGGCTCAAGCAGCGAATTTTTATAAGCTCGTCTGCCCTAAAATGGTGCCGGAGAACATCATCAAGATCAGAGGTGGTCGGTAAGGAAGCCACTTATGATTCATGCATCGGATCTAACATCGCAAAAGGCACATCTTGCAGGAGTTGACGGTTTCTTCGTATGTGCCCAACGACACCTACTTGGTAGGTGGAAACCCATCAGATTGTCTAGCCATTTCTTCAAGTCAGACATGCCAAGACAACTCCGAGGGCATGAATGAAGAGCATGGCCCAAGCATGCTTCTCTTGACAGGACCGAACTATTCAGGAAAGAGTGTATACATGAAACAAGTACGTACGTTCCCCTCTTGCGCACGAGCAGCCGGAACTAAGTTTATAGGTTGCTCTGGTTGCCTACCTTGCGCAGATCGGAAGGTTTGCGAAGATCTTATCCCTTGAGACCATTTCAGCGAAATGCTAAGATTGTTGACCAGCTTCGTGCCAGCAGCCAGCGCCGAGCTTGGGATCACCGACAAGATTATAGTCAAATCGAGTACCCAAGATAGCGTCTCACAGGTGCAAACCAGCCTATCCAGTGCATGAAAAACTAACCATAGATTCCCACTGACTATCCTGCGCGAGAGATAGATCCAAAGCACCTTCATGCGCGACCTGCAACAAATCTCCTTCGATCTGAAGCAGATCACTGACCGCAGCTTGGTAATCATCGACGAATTCGGCAAAGGCACTAGCGAGAACGGTCAGTCCTCTTCAACCAAAAATCATACATCGGGCTGGGCACAGAAAACTGATGCTCCAGGCGAATATGAAAAGATGGCATTGGCCTAGCCTGCGGTATCCTCACACACCTGCTTGATCTGGAAAACTCGCCAAAAGTCATCGCGGCCACGCACTTTCACGAGATCCTTGAGAATGGCTTCCTAAGACGCAGACCCCAGCTACAATTAGGACACATGGAAGTCCAAGTATCCAACGACGCACACAGTACTGAGGACCAGATTACTTATCTCTACAAGTGAGCTTCTTTCTCGGCTTTCTTAGATGTGAATTTGTGGGTAGGCATGCTGACATACTGGGCTTTTCATCGACCAGCTTCCGACCAGGACGGAGCGATAAGAGCTTCGGAACAGTGTATGTCATACCCACACTGCGAGATAATACCCCGGGGTCTATGCTGATTGTTTTCCGATGAAGCTGCGCTGCGATGAACGGTGTCAGCCAGGCTGTTGTGGACCGAGCAAGCGAGATTGCGGCCCTCTCGGCGCGTGGTGAGAACTTGATCGCTGCATGCGCTACGCTCTCGGCTGAAGAGATGCGCGTCCTGGAACAAGCGGTATGTGTAATCTTGCGTTCTGCTTTATCAGGAGAGATAGACTTAGAAGAATACAGGATACGCTCGCGAGGAAGTTCTTGGCCCTAGATCTCTCGGAGTATGATGAGTCGGTTGATGTCAAGGATGTGCTCGGGAGACTGTTTGAGGGTTCGTAGGTGGAGTACAGGATTGAGTCTTGACTCAACGATCAACAACGTATACTTAGTGAACTATTTACTACTGGCAACATAGTGAAGGCGGACGACGAAGACTCGTGGTGGACAATGTTTGTATCATCAAATGGATTATATATGTACAAGTAAGAAAAACCCTCCTTTTTAGCACACAGAAAACGCCGGTGAGAAGCAGCAGTGGTATATATCCATCGAACGGAGAAACAAGACTAGAGCTTGACACTCTTGACCAAGTTCTTCTTGATACCAGTAAGTTCACCACCATATCCACCACGGCCTTCACCGCCCTTGAATACCTGGCGCATGCTACCCAGCTTCTTCTTCTTCTCTTCGAACTTCTTTCTCTTCTTGACACGGGGGTTGCGAGAGTCCTTGCTGCGCTTGGGCGCAAGACCCTTGTTCTTTTCGATCTGGTAGGTGATGGCACGCTTGCCATCGGGCCCGACCTCCTCCTGAAAGTGCACCTCGCCGCCTTCACGGGCAGCGGCGGCGTGGGCCTCTGCGCGCGCCTTCTTGTCGTCCTTCCGTTGTTTGGAGCGAGCTGCAACCATGTCGTAGTAATCGTCACTATCGGACTCGCCACCGCGGAGTTGCTTAGCCACGCGGTCATCCTCCTCGTCACTGTCACCACCAAGCTGCTCGGACTCCTTGAGTGCCTGTCTACCACGCCTCTCGGCCTCGGCATTGAGGCGGGCCTGGCGATCCCGCAAGCGCTCGCGGTAAGGCAAGTCTGCATCACCACCAGCATCGCGACCGGCTGCGCTACGCTTGTTGGCCTTCTGTGCAAGCTGGGAGGTGTAGAAGCGAAGAGAGCGCTTCTGCTTGGCCTTCTCCTCGGCTTCCTTGGCGGTGAGGGCATCCTCATCACCGAAGTCCGAGTCGTCTTCGTCCTTGGCCACCGTCTTGGTCTTCTGAGCCGCGCGTTTCTTGCTAGGCGCAGTGACCAGCTTGGAGAGATCGGCCAGGTTGGCTTCGGTCTCCTCGAGTCTCTTCGCTCTCCGGGCTTCCGCTTCCGCCAGGCGGGCTTCGGCTGCCAGTTGTGCCTTGGTCTTCTTCTTTTGCTTCTTGTCCCTCTGCTCCTTCTTCGTCGGCATGTCGACCTCAGAAACATCCGAGAGTTCGTCTTCTTCGAGCTCGTCTTCGGAGACGTCGGAGGGTTCTGACTCGGGCTCGCTAAGGTCCTTGACAGACTCCCAGAGTTTCCTGAACTTGACGAGAGTGGCCATCACAGGGTGTGCGCGGAGCTCGGCGGGGGAGAGGGGAACAGGCTTGCCGGACGCGTCCTTAGCGGAGGTCAGGAGCATGAAGTACAGGCTGATGGTACCGAGGTAGGCGGAGAGGGCACGGAACTTGACGACGGCAACGGGCGCATAGTCGGGGGCGTTCTCGGAGTCATCATCGGCGTTGAAAGTTTCGACGGCCTTCTTGAGCTCCTGGAGAGTGGGTTGGAGTTCCAGAAAGTGTTTCGAAAGCGGCTCGAATTCGGGGTATCTCGACTTGAGAATCTTCAGCTTCTCATCCGTGCTCATATCCTCGGTGATCTCGACTTGTGGGAGGACTTCCGTCACTTCTCCACTGTCTTCCTCCGCATCGTCCGCCTTTCCGGATTCGGCCCATTCCGTCTCGTCGAAGCCGAAATCCTCCTCATTCATGCTTTGCAGGTGCTTCTGTTGGAGTCTCTTGGCCTCCTCTTCTTCTTCGAGCGCATCGGCTTCCGTTTCGATCTGGTCGGCATTGTAGAAGTCCTTCTTCGAAGAGCCCCAGGCGGCAAGGCCTTCTTCCTCGTCCTCGGAATCGGCTTCTTGACTACCGGCACGCTTCTTGGATTTCGATGGCATATCGTCCATTTCATCGTCGTCGTATCCGTCCTCCTGGTAGTCGTCCTCGTCGTCCTCGTCCTCGTCCGCTGAATCATAGCCCATGATCTCCTCGTCCGATGGCTGCAGCATTGCCTCTGTGATCACATTCGGTCAGAACCAATACTATAAGTATAATGAGAGCTGATTGGAGTCCGCCTACCATCTTCAGCTACCTTGCGACGACGCTTGGCCTCTGGTGCTTCCTCCAACAGAATCTGATCGCGACCGGTTTGAAACTCATCCTCAGAGTCATCGAATCTCTCCTCAATGTCAAATTTAGAGGGTCCAAAGTTGTCTTTCTTGGGGGCCGCAGGGCGACCACCGGCCTTTCTTTTCTTACCCATGATAAGCGTTGGTAAGGTGTAGTATGTGAATTGTAGATGTGAAGCTATACCCTCCGCTCCGGTTTCGATAAACTTTTGCGATAAAATTTTGGGAGGGACGCTCACCGCCCGAGTAACGCTAGCCCGGAAAAGAGAGCAGAGTGGAGGGCAGTTTGCACCGTTTGGTTCAGGGTGGGACGGGAAGGTCTACCGAGGCCGCAATTGTTCCTTCCAGTTGAACATCAAAAGATTCCACAGTCAACAACAGTCAACAATAGTTCGAATCCAATTGTTTCAAAATAGCAGGAGCAGGTCACTCTTGACAGGGATAGGAAGAACCCTCTTTGTGGACTCTTAATCTCTCGCACTCCATCTGTTTTGAATTTCTTCCTTTCTCCTCTCCCCCATGCATCAACTTCTATCCTTCATCCATTACGATTCTTCCCCAACTATATTGGGAGTTTCGACCATCCTCTGCGGAATACTTCTCTATACCGTCAGCAAGATGCTCGGCTTCGGATCTCGTAACCATTTCGTTGTTGAGGGCAGGGTATGTGCTATCCTATGGGCTGATTCCTTTCAAGCAGGGCACTGATTCATTTGTTGTTATGTAGACCGCAGTGATCACTGGCGGCTCCGAGGGCATGGGCAAGGCAGTTGCTTGCCAGCTTGCTGAAATGGGGGCCAACGTCGTGATAGTGGCACGAACTGCTTCCAAGCTTCAGGCTGCGATTGAGACCATGAAGGTAAGTCATCCTGCTGATCTTGCTGAGGTTCAACGCTCATGGTGATTATAGCGAGTGGCGGACAATGTTGAGCGGCAAAAGTTCCACTACATCAGTGCGGACTTGACCGACCCTGCAGAGTGCCAACGTATCATGGCCGAGGTCACCGAATGGAACGATGGACAAGAGCCTGATATCGTCTGGTGCTGCGCAGGATACTGCCATCCTGGTTTCTTCACCGAGACACCCATTAAGTCGCTAAAGGATCAGATGGATACCGTGTACTGGACTGCAGCCAACACGGCCCATGCAACTCTGCAGCGGTGGCTTACCCCTATCAGCCCCAGTCGGCAAGCTCCAATTCCAACTAGACACCTCATCTTCACCTGCTCCACGCTCGCCTTCGTGCCTATTGCGGGCTACGCTCCCTACTCCCCAGCCAAGGCAGCTATTCGCTCTTTGTCCGACACTCTCAGCCAGGAAATTGAGATCTACAATGGTTCTCGTACCTCTAAGGCACGCTGCGAGGCTCCAGCTGCAGATGTCAAGATTCACACGGTCTTCCCCATGGGAATTTTGAGCCCAGGCTTCGACAACGAACAGAAACTCAAGCCAGCTTTGACTAAGCAGCTGGAGGAGGCCGACAAGCCACAGTCCCCTCAGGAGGTTGCAAGTATTGCGATCAGTGCCCTCGAGCGAGGCGAATACTTGATTACTACGATGTTCGTGGGCGACCTCATGAAGGGGTCGGCTCTTGGACCCAGCCCACGGAATTCCATCATCAAGGACACATTGACCGGTTGGCTCAGTAACTTGGTCTTCCCTGGGGTGATTTTCGACCTGCGACGGAAGGCCTGGAAATGGGGTGTGAAACACGGTCTTCCCACAAACCCCGATGGCAATTGATGTGTCGTGCTGTTCGCTCTGCTTTGAGTCCTTGTTGCCTGGTCTATGTCCTAGATACCCGGAGCTGCGTTCCTCATTCTTGCAGCCATTATTATCTTCATTCCTAAAGAAAATGTACATATAGCCGTAGTCTTAATCCATGCTTCATTATCCGACACGTTCTTTGCTTGTCTCTCCACAGAAATCACAGAAATAGCTACAGAGAATCGAGCTAGAGAGCGCAGGCTTGGTTGAAACCAAGGACGATAGTCCGAGATTCTTTGGTGCACGTGTTTCATTGCTTTGTTGAGGACAAGGAAGAAAGAATTGGTGGCTTGGGGAAGCGGACAAAGCGAAGGCGGGATGCACCAAATTAGCCGGGGCCAAGCACCGCCGGCTTATCCACGGTGGGGGAGCATTTTTGGTCGCGTTATCCAACCGCCGCAGTCACAACCAGCTTCTTTCAATTCACAAACTCGGGATGGCTATATAGTCTTCGCTCGAGTATCGCCGTCTCCGTGGGCGTTGTTGATCTAGACTATAGCTGCATCATCGCGCGTGAGGGAAAAAAAAAAAAGTTTCCCAACGCCGTTGCTATACAAGAATATATATTTACTGGTATAAATAAACATTACCCAATTCATCGCTACTGATACGTCGATCAACTCAAGCGCAGGTCACAACAATGCACCCATTGTTCGCGCTTCCGATCTTCTCTCTCCTCATCGCCCCAGTGTGGGCTTTCTGCGGCACCAGCGTCAATTTGATATTCTTCTACATGACATGGGCGACCCTGGTACTGTCGCATTCGGCTCTCCGTGTTGAGCTTGTGGGCACTGCCACCGTGCGGTTGCTGTGCTACGCTCTTCCCTCGCTCCTGTTCTTCCTGTTCGACATCCTGACACCCTCGGCCGCCGTGCTCCTCAAGACCCAGGGCGAATATGGGCTCCCCGCCGGCAACAAACGGGGCAAGATCCGGCGCAAGGACCTCAAAGTCGCCGTGTGGGCGCTCTTCAATCTGGTCCTGGGCGTCGCCGTCCAAGGTGCCATTGAACATACCCTCACCAGCCGCTTTCGCAAGGTGAGCCTGGTGAGAGTGACGCTGAAGCTTCCTCTCCCGTGGTCTCTGGTCCTGGAGATCTTTTGGGGATTGATCCTTCGAGAGGTGCGCATCCCTGCCGTCTTTTCTGGTTTGGTTTTATCCGTCCGTTCGCTAACTTGCACACTTTGATCACCGTAATAGATCCTCAGCTACATTATCCACCGCTGGGTCCTGCACACCAAGAACCCTCTCGCCCGTCTGCACGCCGCCTGGTACCACGCCCTGCGCGCCCCCTACCCGCTCACCGCACACTACGACCACCCGCTCGCCTACCTGATCGGCCGCTGGCTGCCCACCATCCTCCCCGTCGCCCTGTGGCGCCTGCACATGGTCTCCTACCTGGTCTATCTGGCCATCGTCTCCCTCGAGGAGACCTTCGCCTACAGCGGCTACTCCCCGATGCCGACGGGGTTCTTCATCGGCGGCATGGCGCGCAACACGGAGGCGCACCTGCACAGCCTGGGGACAGGCAACTTCGGGCCCTGGGGTATCCTGGATCGGGTGATGGGCACGGCCGTCGACGACAAGTTCGTCGAGGAGGATGGGGAGGCCGTGCCCTCGCCGCCCCGGCGGCGGCGGCTGCGGCCGAACAGCGGAAAGGCGGAGGACCGCGCTCAGCATCGCCGTCGTCAACACCCCGTTCTCCGCCAGGCGGGTGTGCTAATGGAGGATCTGCCGGCTTATGTTGTTGATGATCATCATGAAGATGGGAATCTGGTTGCGTTGGGAGGAGGAGATGATGATGATGATGATGATGATGAGGGGGTTGTGGGGGTGGGGATGGAGCCCCCGGCGCCGCAGCTGCGTCGGGTCAAGAATTATTGGGCGGGCGAGCCGAAGATTCGGCGGACTACGAGGGGGGCGAGGCGGAGGGGGAGGGGGGAGGGTGAGTCTTGATTGTGAGGGTGGTTCGATCTTGGGATGTTGTTGGTGTTGTTGGTGTTTCTTTGGGGTTGTGTTGGTTCATTTGTTTCTGCTTGTTACGTCATGCCTTGAGGGTGTGAATGAGTTTATGGATTGTATTGTATGGCTTTGGGGTCAAAAGGGAGTGAGGCTATTTTTTTTTTTTTTGTTTTTTTTCAAGCAAGTTGTATAGATTTTGTATAGATTTCTTCTTTTAGTTTGTATATGATTTGTTCACTGTGAAAAGTGGTTGTTGTTGTGGGATTTTCGCTCTGTGTGGGGGAGAGAGAGTTGGAGCCTTGGAGGGATCTTCTTATCGGAGTTGGGGTTGTCTAGGGTACTTTCTCCGTAGGCCCGCTTATCTAAATTGCCTGAGTGGGAGCCTATCCAGAGAAAACGCACAACTCGGGGGGTTTAGCTGATTTGGGATTGTTATCCTACAGTACCTAGGTACTGTGAGACCTCGCTATCACGAACCAGAGTGGTGCTTATACCAGGAAACCTGCTCAATCATGTACGAGGTCAATTTGGATATAGATTGGTACGAGACGGGAAAGACAAAGTTGTTACTTATATCATAGAGGTGTCGAGGCTCGCTATATCAAGGATCCACAGTACTTATATAATAGAGACCAGGAGCTGATTGACAACACCAGCTTTCTTGGTCGTGGAGCGACTGGCTATGTTGAGAGCTTGGAATCGATTTGGCGAGGTTCGTCACAGTGAGGTTAAGTCGAAGACAATGGACACTACTGGGATACTGATGGTAGTCTATCATAAACATAAATTTCTCTAGGAATGTGCTGTATCGCCAGGACCTGGTGTTGGTCCAGAGCTCATAGATAACAATTAGGTAGATAGGCTGGAAGAGAAGGTATTCTGCTTTTTTTTTTTGTTTCATTTCATTTCGGCTGGGTGATATCAATACCGGCAAAATCGGCCACGCTGGGAAAGGGGGTATGGGCAAAGACAAAAGAGAGCAGACCAAAGAAACAAAACGGGGTCCCGTGAAATAAAGAGATAACGAACCGGTTTCTTCTTTTCCTTTTTGTCCGCATTAAACAAGTTCTTAAGAAAAACCGCAATCCTAAGCAAACATGAGGCCTGAATCGAGTTACATATATTTCATGAAAGGTTTTGTTTTTTGATTTCTTTTGTTTTGGTCTTTTGCCCCATTTCCCGGCGCTGCAAGTTCGCTTTTCCCACACTTGACCGAGAGAAACGCCGACTTTGCATGGTTAGCCGCCTTTTGACAGGATTCCTCCACACAAAAACTACCGAACCCGCGGCCGCCGCGTCACACATCTACCACTTCATCTCGTGGGGCTTGTCACCGTTGCGGAGGCTGAAGCTGGAGGCGAGGTAGCTGCCAAGGAAGTTCTCCTTCTTGACGGAGGCCAGGATGGACTGGTCGATGGCCTTCTGGTCGCTGGCACGAGCGCTGGCAACCTGCTTCTTCTGTACCGAGGGAAAAACATATCGAATCAGTATTCATGTTCCGGAGAGGACCAACTGGACGCAAAACGTACCTGGGGCTTCTCTCCCTGCTTGAAGAAAGCCTCCTCGGTCTTCTTCTCGGCCTTCTTCTCCTTGGTGAAGTAGTCGGCAGCGGAGACCTTCTCAACGGTCTGGGCGTCAACACCGCTGATGTCGATGCGGGTGCTGGTGGCGATCACATAGCGGGCGTTGACACGACGGAGGGGAACACCGTTGATCTTGAAGGGACCGGTGACGAGCAAGACACCCTGCTCGAGGTGCTTGAGGAGAACGACACGCTTTCCACGGAAGCGACCGGCGAGGAGGATCAAGACAGTACCGGGCTGGAGGCTCTCGCGGACCTTGGCGGGGCGGATAGCCTTGCGGACCTATAATCGTGCAAAAGAGGCCATGTTAGAGAAACGACCTATATCCCCATTTGCGATTCCACCACAATATCCAGAACCACCATTGCCGATCCAGAAGGGCCGGAAGATGCGATTTGTCCCCTATGTTCAAAGGCTCATGGTCCGATTGACACCACTGGCCCTGGTTCCCTCTTGCCTTTTCATCTTCCCCGGATCTTCTCCGAACCCGGAGAGGGTCTCCTCCTCTTTATAACATACCCAGCGCAATTGTCGCATTCATCCATAGTTTCCAAATCGCATCTTCGAAGCCTCTCTGGTCGGTTCGGAATGACTCTGGCTCTGTGCTTCTCAGGGTGATGTCGGTGTACTGACTTTCTTGACCTGCGACTCGTCATCAACGGGGTACCATTTCTGGGCCTTCTGGGCCGGCACAGTCCTCTGGCCCTTTCCAAACTGCTTCGTCAGGTCCGACATTTTGGCTACCGGGACGAAGATGGTCTGAAAAGAATGTAGGGGGGAGGTGGTGGTTGTCGACGGCGGGTGGTTGCTGGAGTTGATGTGTGACTTGCTGCTTTGCGCCCCAGGTCGGGAAAGTGTGAGTTTGTGTGAACGCGAGCCCTAGCCGAAAGGCGCTAGTGCCGATTCGGAGGGGGTCTGATAGCGATAGAGCCGATAGCGCCGCTGGATGCCTGAGGCGGCACCTCCGACGGGCTCGGGTCGTCGGTAGACCCCAACTATGCACTTCGCTTGGCTCTGTCTCACTCAGTAGGTCGAACGAGAGAGAGCTACCTAGTAGTCCATCAACCTAAACATTACTGGGGTAACTTCCAACTGACGTACCTCGCTTTGTTCAGCTTTTGTCTATTATCCTAACCTACCAGTCTTTCCACTCCCAACCCCGAGAGCAACCTCGGTTGCTATCTTTGCTTGACTGGAATACCTTCAACTTTAAAGGTCTTCTCAGAATTATATCCTCCTGTTCATTCACACCTCGCCCACCATGTCCTTAACCCCAATCATCACCTTCAAAGCGGGTATCTGTGACCTTGAGGTGAGCTGTCTCCCAGAGCTCCGATCTCCCCTTTACACACTGGAAACGTTGCATCTCCTCTTCTGATGCCGATGCTGACTGTCTTTCTCTCCTGGTGTATCAGTCCGGCAACGTTGTCAAGCCCAAGCCCACCCCCGGATACATCTACCTCTACATCGAAGATGAATTGGTACACTTCTGCTGGCGCCCGAGAACTGCCCCTCACACCGAACCTGACTTGGATTTGGTGATGGTCCCTTCCGACGGAACCTTCACTCCCTATAAGCCGGCTGGCAACGCTGCCCCCACCAATGGTCGCATTTACGTCCTGAAGTTCTCGTCGAGCTCGCAACGGTACCTGTTTTGGCTGCAATCCAAGTCGCAGCACGAGGGTGGCAACCCCAGCTGGTTCAGCCCCAGGGATATCCGACTGGGTGAGATTGTCAACACGTTGCTGCAGGGTGAGGAGGTGGACGTCGAAGAAGAGATTGCCAACCTGCCTCGGGGCCCCTCGAGCGGTGGCGACGACGACGAGACCATGGAGGATGTAGAGGGCGTGGATCACGACCCCAGCCACAACCACGGAGGCAACAGTGGAGGTGCTGGCCCTGATGCTACCGGGGGCGATGTCCGGGAAGAGGGCCAAGGATCGAGGGAGGGCGGTGCTGATGGTGGAAGAGCGTAGGTACATATCTCGACAGTTCCTCGTGTTCACCCTATCTCTACACTGGGCGGACTGGCTGTACCCTTCGAGCTTTTTGATAGTTTTCATAGATATGCTACTGTACGGAGTGCTGACTGGGAGTTTTCCGCCTGTAGGGCCGCTGCTGACTCGGATCCTTCATCTGTCGTGCAGAGCTTTCTGCAGTCTCTGGGCGGGGGTGCGCGCCAATCCCAAGATCCCGAGCGGCCTTTCACTACTCTGCAAGATCTCCTTCCTCCGTCAACTACGCTTCCCTTCTTGGCGGCCGCCGACGCCAAGACCGTCGATCAGCTGCTGGGCTTCTTGCCCCCGTCGCTTCTCCTCCTGGCACAAGATATCGACGACGCGGCGGTAGCTGATCAGGACCCCGAGATCGCGGAAGCCGCCATGGGATCCCTCGACGAGGACCAGAAGAAAGACATCCTGCGGAAAGTTCTGCACTCGCCTCAGTTCGCCCAGAGCCTCGCAAGTCTGACCGTGGCTATCCGAGATGGTGGATTACCGAGCATTAGCGAAGCCCTCAAGATCCCCGTGGAGAATGGCGGGTTTATGCGTCGAGGGGGAGTTCCGCTAGGGGGTGGTGATGCTGTCGAAGCGTTCCTCCAGGGCGTGCGGAACCACGTGAAGGATGCGACAGCTGAAGGAAACAACCGGATGGAGACTGATTAGATTTTCTAGTTTTAGCCTGTCCATAGTTACAGTAAATGTTTTTATTCGATGATGCCTAAAATTTCCCAGTTATCTGCCAGCCCTACCGTGTTCATATGAGTTAGGGTTAGTGTATATTAAATATGGAGTCACTGGTGTTGTGATGTCTTGAGAGTTGAGACATGCAAATTAGCGGGTTCTGCATGGATGAAACTCGATGGACGGAGAGTGGAATCTATTTTTGGATGCCCCGGAGGTGTGGTGGGGACCAGCTTTGGTCGCAGGCAGCCATCGCTTGTTCGGTGTGGCGCGCGTGGTGGCTATGATTACTGAGTATGTACTTTCAGTCAATTGTGGAATGTTGATCTTGACTGATGGATGTGAGTGACGTTTGGAAGGAGGTATGGTACTGATTAGAGTGCTGGACTGCGTACGTAGTTTAAGAGTGGAGGAGAAAAGAAAATCTAGACTCGTTGTACCAAAGAAAACCCAGGAATACGTAACTGATAGGTTGCTCAATTCTGTCAGGGACGGGGGGGGGGGATGAGGAAAGCATGAGGCAGGCCGCGGGTAGGGAAGTGATCCATCGAACCAGAATAATGATGTTTTTCTTTTTATTTATTTTTTTAGAACCATTTTTTCCTATAAGGCTCGGATGTTTAGCAAATGCTGGGGGTCTTCCTCTCCCCCTTCAGCCATACAGAGGTCGTGGATGGGTAAATCGCCCCAGTCGAGGGCCGCATTGGCGTAGTTCCAGACACTCCATTCATGTCCATCATGTCCATACGTCCATACACCGTTGCTGTTTCTGCCAATCTGTCCACCCACTGACTGAATCCCCCCCCCCCCCCCCTCCCTAAAAAAGACACGATCAATTTGGGTCTTCCATTCCCCATCGGTCTGACTTCCTGAGTGTTCCATTCTAATGATCGAATTTCGAATTCATCATGGTCGGACACTGGCTTTGATTGGTTCCTGGCCCACGTTTTCCGCTCGGGGAGCCCACCTCGGCCACCTTTCAGCCCTTTTTTGACTCTTTCGACTTAGACCGACTGCTTTGCTTCGCCTACGTACTCGTACCTACGAGTCCAGTACACTACTTGATCGAACTACTACTAATTCTCAGCTCTTTCCCGCACCCTCCGCCTCCAGCGGTGAATCTCTTCTTTCCTTTCCCCCTGCATTTGCACCCTCGCACGCACCTCTCGACTGCTGTTTGGGAGCCCTGCGTCTTCCCATCCTCCCGACTCCCTCTGGACCTGCAGCGGCCTGCGATGTCTGCGTTCGGTTAGCGCATCAGAACTGCCCCCCATGGCTTCCAGCAGCCATGACCGCGGCACTGACGACGACGAACACCTCTCTTCCCAGCACTCAATTCCCTTGCAGGACCTCTCTGGACCATTCGACTCTGATCTCGAGCCGAGAAATACCGCCGGTGGAGTTGCGAGCAGGCTGAGCCGGTCATTGACCGGCAGAGGCCGCAGCGGGATCAATTACGAGCGCATCGCGCATGACTCTCCAATCGACAGGGTGGTCGGCGTGCCCCCGCATCACCACGATGAGGACGAAGGCGCTACGATTGATGACCCGGGCGCATTCGCCCAAGCAATCTCCTCGGTCGGACTCAGCTTCGACCCCTCGCACCGTGCCTCTCTCACGCCCGAACCTACCCGCGATGGCTCCAGTATAGACCTTGACACCGTTCCCTTGGACGGGGCCGAGAATTATCTCGCCCACACCGATACCTACACCGATACAACCCCGTTGACAAACATCCGAAACGTACAGCCCATGGGTGGCGCCTCCAGCTCCGAAGACATTCTGCACCACGATGACGGATACGGTGCGCCCACAGCCCAGTTTGCTGCTGCTGCTGGCAATCCGGATGCACGGTTGGGCGACGACCTGGAGGGGGGTTTTCATGGCAGACGGCGCGGGTTGAGCAGCCCCGGCGAAAGGTCGCGCTCGCTGTCGCCCTCGGCCCCCGGGTCGGCTTTGCAGCGAGCCAGTTCGATGATGAAGTCGATGTCTCAGCGTATCGTCAATCTTAGTAACGAGTCGGAGGTCGTGGAGCAGTCGATATTGAGGGAGGAGTCGCACAAGAATGCACGGATGGAGGAACCGCCGGCCCTGCCGTCCTTACCCGACTATGCGCACGATACACCGTCTCCCCTCACGCCTCGCAGCCCGGCGGCTCATCATCACGAAAAGCTACCTTCGAACAGCAAGGCGTGGCGCGAGGTCGGCAACCCGTTGAGGGGCAAGTCCCTGGGATTACTGGGCCCGAATAATGCTCTTCGAATGTGGCTGTGTGACATCTTGGTTCACCCTTTCACTGAGCCTTTTATCTTGCTGGTGATCTTCATCCAGACAATCCTCCTGACAGTCGAGTCATCTCGTTCTGTTTGGAGTCACCCTCGCGATGTAAATTGGGGCAATGCCCCCACGGATTATGTCTATTTAGCGATCTTCATCATTTATACCCTCGAGGTCGGCGCTAGAATCCTGGTGTCCGGCTTAATCATCAACCCTGCTGAGTACAGTACGATCGACCGATCATTGGGCTTCAGGAAAGCCGTGATTGAAAAGGGGAAAAACCTCATCATCCCCCAACGTCAGTTCTCAGTGAGAAAGTCATCCGTCGCTCCGGAGCAGCCGCAGGCTTCGATTATACGGACGTTCACGGGAGGCTTAAATCAGTTGGAAAATCAACATCAACTGGAGCACCAACTAGCCGATGATCCGTTGCAGAAGAGTCGCGTGAGACTGGCTCATCGTGCGTTTCTCCGCCACTCGTTCAACCGTCTCGACTTCGTCGCGTTGATTGCTTATTGGGTTTCTTTTTTTCTCTCGGTTTATGGGGTCGAGACTCGCCAGCAGCTGTATGTCTTTAGCATGCTCAGCTGTCTCCGAATCCTTCGTCTTCTGGCCCTGACGAATGGTACTTCTGTAAGCGTAGCACTCACCGCTGTACAGCTGACATCTAGCTAACTCAATTAGATCATCCTGCGAAGTCTTAAGAAGGCCGCGCCACTGCTCGTGCACGTTGCATTTCTCATTGGTTTCTTCTGGCTCCTGTTTGCCATTGTCGGCATCCAGAGCTTCAAGTCCAGCTTGCGGAGAACTTGTGTTTGGATCGGGGTAAATGGTCAAGACAACTATACGCAGGATGAACAATTCTGTGGTGGCTACCTCAATGACGGCCAACACATGCCATGGCTAAGTGCTGACGGGCTTCCCACCACATCCAGCCCGAAGGGTTACATCTGCCCTCAAGGGTCTTTATGCATTGAAGGCGACAACCCTTACAATGGGACTATGAGCTTTGACAACATCCTCAACTCGCTGGAGCTTGTGTTTGTGATCATGACATCGAACACATTTACGGACATTCTTTATTACACTACCGACAGTGACTACCTGGCCGCGTCTCTTTTCTTTGTGTGTGGGTTGATCATTCTGAGTTTGTGGATGGTCAACCTGTTGGTTGCGGTCATTACGCATTCCTTCCAAGTCATCCGCGAAGAAAGCAAGCGCAGTGCATTCGCCGTGCAGAAGATAGACTCGACCGACAAGGAGGACCCGTCCGCTCGCAAGATAAGTACTATCAAACGCATCTATGACAAGACGGAATGGCTTTGGGTCTGTATCATCATCTTTGACTTGGTCGTGCAAGCCCAGAGAAGTGCTTCTATGGGCGCTGATCGCCAGGCTCTTATTGACAACACAGAGATTATTGTTACCATCGTATTCCTGGTTGAGATTCTCTTGCGCTTCGCCTCCGACTGGCGCAGTTTCCATACCAAAGCCCGGAATTGGGTTGATCTGGGCTTGGTGATTGTGACTTGTGTCATTCAAATCCCTGTCATCAGGAACACTCGTGTTTATGATGTCCTCACGATGTTCCAAATTCTTCGAGTGTATAGAGTAGTCCTCGCGTTCACGGTGACCAGGAACCTTATCATGGTAGTCTTCCGCAATGCTACTGGATTGCTGAATCTTATCGTCTTCGTCTTCCTGATCACGTTCCTTGCATCCATCTTCGCAACGGAGCTCTTTCGGGGTCAAATCCCGGAGGAAGACGATGGCGGAGACTTCATCTACATTACTTTCTCCGATATCTACAACTCATTTCTGGGGATGTATCAGATCTTGTCTAGCGAGAATTGGACGGACATCCTGTACAACGCCACGACATACACGGAAACCTACAAGACTTCGTGGATCTCGGCAACTTTCCTAATCATGTGGTTCATTGTCTCCTGTTTCATCGTTCTGAACATGTTCATTGCTGTGATTCAGGAAAGCTTTGATGTATCAGAAGACGAGAAGCGGCTCCAGCAAGTCAGGTCATTTTTGGAGCAGAAGCAAGTCAACATGTCTTCGCAGGGAAACCTGTCCCTCTCGAAGATCCTGATGATGGGCCGGAACTCGGAGCGCTACAAGGATCCTCTTGATCACGGGCCAGCGGCGCTGGAGATGCTACTGAAGGATGCTGTTGTGCAGGAATTCCTCGACGAGCAGGAGCCGCCAGAGTCCGAACGGAGGGAAAGCGTGCCGTTGGAAACGACGACTACAGCGGAGACGTCGCAGCCTGGTATCTTCTCGCGCACCTGGAACAAGTTCGCGACATCTGTCATGCGTCGAGAGCCCAATCCGTTCTACTCCAAGCTGAAATTCTCGCGAGCATACGACGAATTGGATCCGAGGACAATGGCTCGGGAAGTTGTCTCGGCCGCCGAGCAGAGAAAGCGGGCTCAACGCGACTATCTAATGCGCCACCCCAATTACAACAAGTCATTGTTCATGTTCGCGCCGGATAACGCAGTCCGGAAGTTCTGCCAGCGTATGGTCGGTCCCGGACGCGGCACCCAGCGAGTGGAGGGTGTCGATCCATATAAGCCCGTATGGTTCACCTTCTCTGCTTTCATCTATGCCGCCATTGTCGCGATGGTTCTGCTGGCCTGCATTACTACTCCGATCTACCAGAGCACTCACTTTCAAAATAACCGAGACTGGTTCACTTACACGGACATGGGCTTTGCGATCTTGTTCACGATCGAGGCACTCATCAAAGTCATTGCTGATGGGTTCTTCTGGACGCCTAATGCGTATTTCCGAAGTTCATGGGGTTTTCTTGATGGCATCGTCTTGATAACTCTTTGGATCAGTGTGGGAGGTTCGTTGTATCAGGACTGGGGTCTGACCCGGGCGATTGGGGCTTTCAAAGCACTTAGAGCTCTGCGACTGCTGAACGTCAGTGATAGTGCCAAGGGTACTTTTCATTCGGTCATCATCGTTGGAGGATGGAAGGTCATTGCTGTAGGTTCACTGCCGACGAGGATGGTTGCAAATGCTAATGTTGTTAGGCTGCTGCGGTCTCGATGAGTTTTCTGATCCCCTTCGCTATCTACGGGGTCACGCTTTTCGCTGGGCGGATGGTCCAGTGCAATGATGGCGATGTAGCCGGTAGCCTGGACGCCTGCATCGGCGAGTATATGAGCTCGCCTTCCAACTGGGATGTGCTTGCGCCTCGAGCCGCTGCCAACCCCTACTACGACTTTGACAATTTCGGAGACTCCCTCTTCATTCTGTTCCAGATCGTCTCCCAAGAAGGGTGGATCGATGTGCAGCAGAGTGCAATGAGCATTGTTGGGGTCGGACAGCAACCTCAGGACTACATTGCGCCGGAGAACGGGCTGTTCTTCATCGTGTTCAACTTGCTCGGTGCCGTCTTCGTTCTGACCTTGTTCGTGTCTGTTTTCATGCGCAATTATACGGAACAGACCGGAGTGGCCTATCTTACTGCGGAACAGCGTTCGTGGCTGGAGTTACGGAAGCTGCTGAGGCAGATCAACCCTTCCAAGCGGTCCTTCGACAACAAGACCAAAAAGTGGAAGATGTGGTGCTACCGCGTGGCTGTCAAAAAACACGGCCGATGGGCCAAGTTTGTAACTTGCATTCTTACGCTTCATCTTCTGCTGTTGGTCTTGGAGTTCTACCCCGAGGCCCATCTGTGGAATTCGATCCGACAGATCTTGTTCTTTGCGTTCAACATCGTCTACATCGCCAATGTAGCGATCCGAATCCTTGGCCTTGGCTGGCACCGATTCAGCAGAAGTTCCTGGGACCTTTACTCGTTGATCTCGGTACCTGGAACCCTGATCACGACCATCCTGACCTTTGCGAACTCAGGCCATGTGGTCTCTGAGCTGAACAAACTCTTCCTTGTGTCGATTACACTGCTGATCATTCCTCGCAACAACCAGCTCGACCAACTGTTCAAGACAGCTGCAGCCAGTTTCACGGCGATTGGCAATCTGCTAGCCACCTGGTTTGTGCTGTTCCTGGTCTTCGCGATCGCAATGAACCAGGCGTTTGGCCTGACCAAATTCGGCTCTCAAGAAAGCGACAATATCAATTTCCGCGACATCCCGCGCGCCCTGATCCTCCTCTTTCGGATGAGTGCCGGTGAGGGATGGAACGAGGTCATGGAAGACTTCGCCACCATGGAACCGCCCTACTGCACGTACAGCAGCAACTACTTCGATGATGACTGTGGCAGCGCACCGTGGGCTCGCTCGCTCTTCATTGCGTGGAACATCATCAGCATGTATCTCTTCGTGTCGTTATTCACGTCCCTGATCTTCGAGAGTTTCTCGTACGTGTATCAGAAGAGCAGCGGGCTCTACGCCATCAGCCGCGAAGACGTCCGTCGCTTCAAGCACGCATGGGCTACGTATGATCCGGATGGCACGGGATACATCACCAAGGAGCAGTTCCCGCGTCTGCTGGGAGAGTTATCCGGAATGTTCTCCATGCGGATCTACGACGGCGAATTCACGATCCCGCAGATTCTGGAAGAATGTCGGGTTGACCGGCGCGACTCGCTTCTTGCGCATCGGAGAGTGGTCGAGGGGCTTGATCTGGACAAGATGTCTCGCATCCTGCGGCGCATCCCGGTCGAGAATATCCGCAAGCGACGACAGCAGCTCAACTCATTCTACGAGGAAGTGTTGGTGTCTGCAGACCCGGTGCGCGGCATCTCGTTCCACTCGTGTCTCATGATCCTGGCGCATTATAACGTGATCAGTGACAGTAAAAGTCTCCGGCTCGAGGAGTTCCTGCGCCGCCGAGCCCGCCTGCAACGGGTGCAGGAGACCATCCGACGGCAGACGGTCATCGGGTTCTTCGACACGCTGTACTGGTCGCGGCAGTTCCGCCGCAAGGTGGAGCACAAGAAGTCGGCCCGGATGAGCGCGGTGCCACAGTTCTCGGTGCCGGAGATTTTCGTGGACGACGGATCGCAAGACGAGCCCACGGCCATCACCAACGTGGCCCCTGGCCCTGCCGACCCCTTCGGTGGTGGTGGTAGTGGTGAGGAGCCCCTCCAACCGATGCTATCCCCAACCTCGCCCACGCGACGCGACGGCGGTGGCCCGTCCCGACTGGGCGGTCTGCCCCCAATCGACACCAGCATGGGCGGACGTATCTCGGCGGCGAACTCGCCGACCGAGTGGTCGAGCATCAGCCCGTCGCTGTCGCCGCGGCGGGAGCGGGCCAACACGACCTCGTCGTACGGCAGCGGGCCGGACGTGCTAGAGGAGATCCAGAGCGCGACGTCGGAGCGGCCGCCCAACGTCAACGACGTGATGCAGTCGCTGGGCGACTCGGCGTGGGGCGAGAGTATCCGGCGTAGTTTCACGCAGCGACGACGGTCGGGCGAGTAAATATGCGTGAATTTGTTTGTGAGCCTGTGCCCATGTGGAGCATGGCTTTTTTGTGTTTTTTTTTTTTTTTTTTTCTCTGTTTAGCGTTCTACCATTCCTGTTTGTTAGCTCTGCATCTAGACATTCTGTATCTCGGAAAGGAAGCATGCTAGAGAGGTTCCATGTACAGTACATTCAGGGGGAGGGACCAGGATCATGTTAAGTGATGATGATGTTGATGATGCGATTTGATTGAAAATACGGGTGAATTGGACTATGTGGATAGATAGATACAGTGTGGCATTCAGTGACATTGTACTCTGTACTGTACAGCAAGACTCGATTCCGAGAACTCCGTAGGGAATCTGTTGCTCCTAGCAATTTGGGTCTTGAAGAATGAAGAATCCAACCCGAAAGCATAGAAGAGAACTGTGTAGAGCATAGTGGAGTGATCTAGTTACTCGGGTTGTTGTGTTGTATTGTGTTGTGTTGTTTTGCAGGGTGGGCTGCCTGCCTTGCCTGCCTTGCCTGCCTTGCCTGCCTTGCCTGCCTTGCCTGCCTTGGTATAGATCCATCACGTGGATGGATCGAATGCAATGCAATGCCAATGCAAATGCATGGCCTATCACTTTTTTTTTTTTTTTTTTTTTTTTTTTTTCCACATCACCATTGGGAGATTACGGAGTGGGAAAAAGCAAGAAAAGAAACAAGTCTTACATCATGATTGTCAGTTTCTCCCATCGCTTATTAGTTGATTTTTAGGGGTGCTGTTCTTTTCCGCCTGATTTGCGTTGTTCGCCCTGATTCTGGGACCTAAATTAGGTTGGGGAGAGAGACTCCTTGTAAAACGTGACCACCACAAAATCGGGTTCCTTCTTGGGGAGGGAAGCAGGCTACTGACTAACCTGAAGGAGCGGGAATTAACTGGAATGACAGGGCGTGATCTCTGGTTTGGGGTGGGGCTATTCTGGGTTAAGTTGGTGCCCCGGATCGGGCAATTGGCTTGCACTGTAGTTTAGCGGACAGAGTGAAGTCTTGTCCTGGACTATACTGTACTTCCCCGAATCACTGAGACAGAGTCCGAAGGAGGGAGACTGCTCAGCTCTGCTCAGCACGCAACCCCTTGAAACCGGCCCTGAGTCAGGAAACTTCTCTCATAAACTGCAGCAGGAATGTGCTGCAGTCGGAAAGAAGTTCAGCAGTTCAGCAGTTCAGCAGTTAAAGATTCGGCTGGAGCGGAAACGGGGCGGGAAGGGAAGTGTCTGTTTGCAGTTTAGTCATTTCCATTAGTTAACTATCAAGTAACTTAACTATAAGTTATGATGGATGGATCGGCCCTTTCCTGGTCCTGGTCCTGGTCTTGGATGTTGTCATCATCACCTGGAGTTATTCTCTGTGTCCTCGTATTGCGATGAGGGCTTTTCGTTCCGAGTCTGACTTCTAACTACTACACTACTAGATTGAAGTTGATCTATCATCCTCGTCCGCATCCTCACCCTCGATTCATCACACGGGATCCATCAGACTGAGACTAAGTCTGAGTCTACTTGTGTGACTTGCTCACTCTTTTTCCATCATCATCATTACTACAACCACTACAACCATTACTGCCATTACTGCCATCTACTCCGACTCTCCTTCTTTCACTCACTACTTACTACCTGACTCCTCCCTCCATCTCAATCCAATACCACTCATCCCATATATCCATATATCCCCCCTCACCTCGACCACGACCACAATCATGTCCGCCCCCAACGAAACCCAACAAACCCCCGGCCTCCACCTGCACACCACCTTCGCGCTCCCTCCGCCCTCCTCATCGCAATACCCGTACCACCACCACCACCACCACCAACACACCCCCAAACCAACCACGAAAAGAACCACCCTCCCCACCCCCTCCACCTCGCCCACCATCTCCCCGCTCAGCTCCACCACCACCAGTCCAACCTCCTCCCCCATCTCCAACCCAGAATCCATCTCCTCCGCCTCCGACGCCTCGCTGTATACCACCGCCTCCCCGCCCCCATTCGCTTTCCACCGCTTACACTTCCCTTCCTCCCCTAGCAGCAGTGGGGGGAACACCACCACCAAGACCGAAACCACCACTAGCATCACCAAGCCGCAATACAAATACCACTTGAACCCACCCAGCAAGCAACCCGACCTCACCACCCCGCCCCTCAGTCCACATCTAGTCCCCTTCAACCCGGCGCCGAGGACAGCGAGCCAGCACGAGCACGAGCAGGAGCAGACGCAGCCGCACAGTCCCGTCCCGGCATTCTCGCTCCTTTCTCTCTCCCTCTCCCCCGCGCTCTCGCTCTCGCTCTCCCGATCGCCGTCGCCGTCGCCGTCGCTTTCCCTGCCGCTAAACCAGCAGCAGACTCCTCGAGCGCGACAGCTGCAGCTGCAGCTGCAGCACCAGCACCAGCAATTCCGACCCCGAATCCTGTCGAAAGCCGAGAAGGAGGTCCTCGAGGAACAGGGCCGCGCGGCGGGCGATGCGGCGGAGCGGGCGGGGTTGGGGTTGTTGGAGCCGAGACCGGTGCCTTTGCCTTGCACGGTTGCGGCGGGCGGGATCGGGATGATTGGCAGGGGCAGTGGCAGGGGAGGAGGAGGCGTGGTGGCGTTTGAGGGGATTGAGGAGGTTTTGGCGGGGTGAAGTTCTTCTCTTTCGCTGACTCTTTCCTCGGGGTGGGGGGTGGGGGTTGGAGTTTTGGGGTACCTGGGGATAGCACCGGGAACAGACTGCGTCCGATGGATGATGGAAGCTATAAGACGGTCAAGGGTCGGTCGGGTCGGCTGATTGACCCACCCTGACTGGAGACAACTGGCGAGAGTCGAGGCAACAGGTGCCGTGATTTCTTGGAGGCCCTTGGTTTTTGAATACTGTGTTTGGGACTTGGCTAGCGATCGATCACTGAGGGCGTTTTGCTCAGGGGACATTTTTGTTCACGTGTTGGAACTTGTTCATCTGGATACGGGCGTTGGATACGGGCGTTTGGACGGGCAAGGCGGTGGGGAGTTCTGGTGTTTCTGGCTCTGGCTCTGGCGGATGCTTGTGATTTTTGTTGACTGTGTGTATGTCTGTGCAAGCTTTGTTCTACTTGCCGGCTGCCAGTATCCTGGCTGCTGGGATATACCTTACACCTAAGTACCTAATCTACACCTAACTACTTTGGATATGATTGTTGATTACAAATGGTCGGGTTATCACATAATGCCAGGTGGGGACTAGCGTGAGAGCTGGTATCTACAAGATGAGGATATCATAGGGAAGTCGGAGTCTGTCACTTCGATTCGAGTTGTAGCCCTAGATCTCTATCTCCAAATCGTAACACAATGGAAACCACTGCATGGGCAGAACGTGGTGAACGCAAGGCGGTGAAGACCCCTCAGGCTGCATGCAGGCTGTCTGTGATGGTAATTGCAAAACAAAGTAAAAGGCTGGAATGTACTGGACGGACATGATCAGGGTATCGTGAGTCGGAGGGAAACATGTGCAAAAGGGAAAATGTGCAGGGTTGTGCGTGTGCGTATGTGTGTTTTGAGTGGGAAACAAAAGTATGACCACCACCACCACCACCACCACCACCAGAAGATGGTCAATGCACGCGGGAGTGGATAAGGACAATAGAGGTAGGTGGATAATCCAGATCAAAAGGGTTAAAAAGGCCGGCGTGTTGGAAAGACGTCTAAACATACAAAAGGTATGTAAGAACGCCCTTTTTTTTTCTGAAGCAAAGGCTTCACCTGGAATAGAAGATCATCTTGCTCAAACGCGTCAGGGGTATTATCACAGGACGCTGACCCATCGGCAATGCTACTACAAGGACTGCAGCAGCAGGGTTCAGTTCTCAGGGCATGCAAAGCAAGCAGACAGAAACGAGTGACCAGCACAATCGCACTGCAATGTATCTCACCGCACCCCCTTCTTCCGCTGGTTCGGCCACAACTGACCCCGGCAGTTCGCCTCGCCGCAAAGACACCGCACCGCGCTGGGATCGATCTTAGCGTTCTTGCCGACGACGCCGCCACCGACGCCGCCGCCCCCCTCGGAACCGGGGTTATAATCAAAGGTCAATTCCGTGTTCGGCGGGATCTCGCGCAGGGCAAAGAAAGCCAGATCGTACAGGTCGCGATCGGCGTGGTTGCGGGAGACTGGGATCATGCGGCAGTTCGGGTTACACGAGTGGTTGATGAAGCGAGTCGGGCCGCCGAAGTTACGCCCGTCGATCACGTACTTGCAGCCGGACTCGGTAACTTGGTCGTCTTGGTCGTCCTCGTCGTTATCTTCGTCGCTGCTGCTGCTGCTGGCGTCCTCCTCATAGTCTTCGTACTGGCCGTTCAGAAAATCGAGACTGAAGAGGTAGGATGTACCGTGCGCGGTGTGAATCGCTTCGCGGAGATCGGCCGCCGCGGTGGTGATCACTTCGCCGGTGTAGCAGTCGATGAATTGGCCGGCGCGGATACGGTCCGGTGAGCGGAGGCCTATGGAGATGAAGTCATGAGTAAGAGAGTCTCACACCGTGGGGTAAAAATCAAGAAAGAAAGAAAGAAAGAAAGACAGAAAGAGACGATGGAGTTGACTAAAAACACGGGAAACTTACCAAACCCACGATCCCCGGTATAGAAAATCTCCAGCCGCACGGTGCGTCCGTTCTGGACGACGCGATTCCAGCACCCCGCATTGCACCCACACCGGTCACTGCACTCGTAGATCATGGCCTTGCGCGTCAGGAACTTCGGATCCAGCACCATCATGTGCGGGTCGTCCGGGGCGCGCCGGTACGGCACGATGTTCGTGTTGCTCTCATCCTCCTCCTTGGACAGACACAGGCAGGTCGCCTCGTCGCACACCCCGTCGCAGGTGCACCCGGCGTTGAACTCCTCGGACACAGGGACCACGCCCTTGCGCAGCGGGTTGGTGTTGACGAACTCGAAGTTCATGATGAAGTCCGCCAGGCGGGGCTCGGCGGCCGGGTCGTAGGTGACCTCCGGTCCCCGGATGGCCCGCAGCTTGCGTTGCATCGTCTGGTGCGTCTGCTGCCGGACGTCGGGGGGTCGGGTCAGCAGCGGGCCAGGGGCGCCGAGCACCAGGGGCGTGTCGGCTCGCTTGACCCTCTTGGCCTTCGGGTAGGCGCCCTTAATGGCTTTCCTTTGGTAGGCGTCTGTCGGGTAGTAGGTCTGCGAGAGGGCTGTGGGGGGTTGGAGTGGGGGGGTTGGTTTGGATACTAGGGAGGAGGAGGATGCACGGCCGTTGATGGAGGGATATCCAGGGGATTTATGCTCCAACTGGCGAGATGATTGGGGAGGGATGATGACATCTGCGATGGTGGAATGGGGGATAGAAGCTGAGGAAGAATCTGGGGTGGGTGAATGGTAGGCTGAAGGGGCAGTGGCTGGCCAGGCGCTGAAGCATCGTGGACTCTGTCTGCGTCCAACACTCTGGGCCTCTTGGCTTGAGATGCTTCGGCTCGAGCTTGGTCTGATCGGCTCAGGCTGGGAGGCGACACGCCGCTCGAGCTCACGATGGTTCGACCTGTCAAAGTATTTTGACGCTGCTAGAGCAGAGAATGCATCTTTTGCGTCCGACTTTCTTCTCTTCACCGGCACTGCCTGCGAGACATTGAGTGCGCGGTGAGCCAGGCTGCGTGAGAGTGAAGCTGTGCTTGCAGATGGTGTCTAAAGCCCGAGTCAGCTACCATTCCCAGGGCATTCTGCCTTAACACGCTGTTTCTTTGTTTAGGGGCTATTTTGGAAATTCTAAGATACAAAAGCACAAACTTTAACACAAGATATGCAGGATATATTGAAAGAGATAGAAAATAAATAGGCATAAGGAACTCCAGGAGTAATCTGTTGCTGTAAAAAAAGGCCGTATAGTGATATAGCAACATAACAGCATAGCAACGGGAATACGCAAAACAGCGGGGGATCCTTGAGAGGCGGTAACCCCCAAGAAAACACAGATTTGAAAGGCAGAAAGACCCCAGCAAAACTCACCTTATTTGACCCGTCCAACTCCGAGTCTGCTGTCAAGTCAATGAACACAGCCGGCATGGTAGCCACAGTCCAGACCAAGGAACCACCGATATTGTAGTGTCAAAAATCAGGCATAACAGACCAGATGGAGGGAAAGCGGTGTTGAGGCGGTGTTCAAAGGAAGGCTTTCAGGAGGGGAGGGAGAGAAAGACTTAACAAGATAGTCTAGCCTGTTTAAGGAGTACCCTGCTGACTCAGCTAATATCAAGTGAATGATATCTATATAGAGATTTCAAAAAGTCAGGGAATAAAACAGTCCTAAGTAAACAAAATCAGCATTTTTCTTCAAAATATTGAATTCGGTACAGATATACCACAACAGACTAACACACATTCAAAATCCCAGAATGCCCCAGATCAACTGGGAAGATGGTTGTGCTGATAGCATGTCCAGCAACAATTCTGAATTGACCAATCAGTAACCTTAGATGAACTGCAAAAGTAGCAGCCGGCTTCGACCCGCCCAGCCGAGTCCGTTTGCGCATGGGTAAACCAAACAGCGTTGGTCATGTCCAGATGCCAAGCACCAGGCAAAGAAACACATTTCAGGTGTTTCAAGGCAGTCTCCCGGGGCTATTATATCTGAATATGATGTTTCAAGTTAAATAGATACTCTGTCTGGGGCAGGATCACAGCCTGAACTTGCTTTATAGATCTTGTTGTTTGTCGGTGCGGCCATATGTAAGGGCCCAAACAGCCCTTCCAACCTTTGCAGATATCCGCGAAGGGAAATGTATATAGACAACCTAAGGCGGTGGTTATATAACGGCTAAGCAAGCCGGCCGCAGCCGCCCCCAAGAGCAGCGGCTGCCTTACAAGTTAGGCAAGGCAGCAACAACACCTTAAAATAATATATTAGCACTTTTAGCTTTATAAAAGCTATTTATTTATTATACTATTTTATTTTTTAGTTTTTATAATCTTATTATTTAATACTCTGCAGAATAGCCCGGTAAGCAATAGCCGGCTATAATATATAAAGCTAAACTAAAAGTAATTTTTTTAATTTAATTATAAAAAACTATATATTAACTGTAGGGGATAAATTATCTATACTAAAAAAAAAAGTACAGGTTTCAACTTAAGATTTTTATAAATATTTATATTTACTTAAACAGATTGCCAAGCTGTAGAAACAGCTAGAAATTAGTATTATAAAAAAGTATTTATATAAAAATTTAAAAAACTCCAATTCCAGTACTATAAAAACTAAAAAAACTGGTATATATATTAATTTATTTATAAATAAAAAATAATATAGTATCTGTAATTATATTATCTACTGTATATTTATTACCAGATAAAAGTTAACTGTAGAGGCTAATAACTAAAATAAAAGCTAAAAAATATATATTATAATAGCTTATCTAGATTATATTTTAAATAATTTATAAAAAGATAAGGCAGCTGAATTCTACTATAAAAAAAAATAAACTGGCCTTTATAAGTTTTTTAAAATATAGCTGGGAAATTCTATAAATAAATAATAAAAAATTTAGTTAAAAATACTTAAAACTAAGTTTTATAAAAAAAAAATTAGAGTTTACCTATCTATAGAAATAGAAGAAAATAAGAACTAAATTAAATTATAAAATATAAAATATTAATATTATATAGCTGTACCTATTTTTTACATCTTTTTTTTCTACAGTTTAAAAAAAGATCTGTAAGCAGCAGATTTTTTTTATAATTAAATAAAATCTTATTATACTATTTACAAGGTTACACCCAGTACTAAATTAGTAATATAAATAAGTAAAAAATAAAATATTTTATAAATAGACTTTAAAAAAAAGTTACAGGTCTACTGCCTTTACAGACAGAATTTAAAAATCAGAAATCTAAACTAATAATTTTATAAAAAAAATTTAAAGGCTAAAGTAATTTTTTTTAATACTATAAATACCTATAGAGGCCCCCGGATTAAAAGCTTGCTATAATTATAAATAAATAAATTATTAAATAAAAAATTACTAGTTAACTAAACTACTTATAAAGTAACTAATAAATAAAATTACAGTACCCGCCTTAAACTAAATTAAAATTATAATTTATTTTAGTTTAAAACTAAAAAAAATAACTAATCCTTTATAAAAAAAAATATTTTATAAAAATAAAAATTATTATAGATAGTAAAATAAAGGTAAATCTAATATCTATAATATTTACTAAATAAATAAAATAATTAACTATTCTAGTAAAAATAATTATAAAAAAAGTTAAGTAAAAAGATATATAGTTAAAAAAAACTATAGTATTTATAATATATTTAAAAAATATTTAAAAATACTATAAGAACTAAACAGATCTTGTAATTATAATACTAGAAATAAATAAAATAATTTTAAAAATATTTTAAATAAAATAGTAGAAATCTATTATAAAATTTAATAAGTATAAACTCTAGTTTTATAAATACTGTATACTAAGAGTACTACAAGTTATAGTAGAAAAAATTATACTAAAAGATTTTATAAAAGCAAATTTTTACTTAATAATAGTATAAAAAATTTATAAAATAATTATTAACTAAAAAATACTAGTATAGTACTGTAAATATAAAATAGTATTTATAAAAAAAAAAGCTGTAAGCTTATCTATACAAAAACTAGAGATAAATTTAAAAATTAATTTTTATAAGAAATTCCAGCTAAAGCTGGGGTAAGTATATAAAATATTACCTATAAAAAAAAATTTTATAAAACTATTTATAAAAAATATTTATAAAAGAATAGATCTAGTATTTTAAGTTGCTAGTAGATATACTAGTTTTATTTACAGATAAAAAAAAATAAAAGCCTATAAATATATATAAATTATTATAAATTAAATAAATAAATAGTAAAAAATACCTATCTACTACTGTAGATTAATAAATATATTAATTAACTTATAGGGGCTTTTTAATTTATATAACTGGACCTATATAAGGCCTACTATAAAATTAGAATTATAAAAAAATATAAATAAAAAATAGTATTTTAAATAAAGTATAAACTATTTAAGTATCTAGTTATACTATTTAGGCTAACTAATATATCTGTAGAATTCTAAAGTTTTATAAATTTCTTATTTATAAAATATCTGGATAATTTTATAATTATCTATTTAAATAATATTATAGTATACTTATAGAATCTAAAGATATATAAAATACAGATCTGTAAAATACTAAAAATATTATAAAATACAGAATTATATATAAAACTAAGTAAATACTACTTTATAGTAATAAAAATTAACTTTTTAAAATTTTTAATTAGCTGTAAAAGTATTTATATAAAACTGGAGTATATTACAACTATTTATAATTAGCCTAAGCTATAGAATATAAAAAATATATTAAAGTTTATAGGCTTTATAAATTAGTATAGATATTTTATTAAAAAGTATTTATAAATTACAGTACTAATTACAGACCTTATTAAAATACCTTATAAAAAAAAAAAAGAAAAACCAGATATAGTTTTTTAATACTAAAAGTTTATAAAAGCTTTTAAAAGCTAAAAAATATATTTATAAAAAATATAGTTATAGTATATTTTAAAAAGAAAAAACTTTTATAAATTAAAACAGATGTCTTAGCCCTTACAATTAGTAGAATACTATTATAAAAAAACTAAAAAGGCTAATAAAAACCAGTAGTATTTTATTTATAAAAAATAATTTCTATAGAGTAGAACTACAGTATTTATAATTAAAAGCTTTTTATAATTATAAAATTATTTAAAAAGTAGTAATACTAGCTTAAAGGTACAGAGTACCCGGTAAAAGTAGTTATAAACTATAAAAGCTTTAAATATTTTATAATTAATAAAAAATTATTATAAAAATAAATTAGATAAATATAATATTTTATAGTATTTAAATTTCTTTTAATATATAGGCTGGATTTGTAGAACCCAGTAGACACTTTATTATAATAATCTAACTATAAAAAAAAGGCTATAAAAAAAAACTATAAAAAACTTAAAAAAATAGTACTGCAGTAGTTAAATAATTTTTTAAACCTAAAAAAAAATACAGCTATTTTTATAAGGGTTAAAATACTATTAGTAAAAGATACTACAGCAGATCTAAACTAGCTAAAATTTTATATAAAAATAATAAAAATAACTATAGATAAAAGTATATACTATAAAAATTTATTTATTAATTTTATATAAAAGCTACCCTAGCTGCTGTAAAAAAATAATTTTATAAAAAAAGTACTTTAAATAAAATAAAAAAAAAACTATAGAGGCAGCTTATCTTATAGTAGAAAATACCTATAAAAAAATTATTTATAATAAAATATTAATTAAAAATTATTTTATTTTATAGAAAAGTTATATATTTTAAATAATTACCAGCTAAAACTAAAGATTTTTATAAAACTATATAATAATTCTATTATAGAATATTTTATAAAAGTAAAAATCTAAAAGTTAGTTTTATAAAAATTTTAGTAGCTAAAATTAGCTAAATTTATATAAAACTACTGCTATATATATAAAGTATATTAAAGTAGACAGATAATTTATAAAAAATAGTAAAAACTATTAAAATTATTATTATTTATTATAAAATTTTAAAAAAAAGTAACTATAGATTTTATTACAGACCTATTTATAAGCACCTATAAAAATAAAAACTTATAAAAAATTTATAATAGTATTATAGTTATAGTAGACTAGTTTAGTAAAATAGCTTACTTTATTCTAATTTATAAAATACTATTAGGAAAAGGGCTTATAATAACCTTTTTTAAAATAATTTTTTAGCTATATAAAATATTTAGAAAAGTAATTACAAATTATAAACTAGTTTTTATAAAAAATTTTTAATTAAATTTTATTTATATTTTTATAATTAAATAAGGCTTAAGTACAGCCTACCACCTGCAAACAAATAATTAAACAGAAAAAATAAATAATATATTAAAATAATATTTATAAAACTATATTAACTTTAAATAAAATAATTAGATAGAAATACTACTACTTATAGAATTTATTTATAATAATTTTTTATAAATATTAATTAAGTACTTTTTATTTTTTATAATAACTATATAATATCTGCAGATAATAGTACTTAACTTATAAATACTAGATAATCCTATAAAAAAACTAAAGCAATATTTTTAAAAAATTAGAAAAATAAAAAAGAAGATAGCTGTAAATCTTAAATAAATTTACAGATATTAGAAGAACTTTTATAATAAAAGTTATAAAACTACTGCCTTTACAGTAGGCCAAAAAGTTTAGCTTTTTATAAAAAATTTACTATAAAAAAGGCTAAATAAGAAACTAGACCAGTACTATTATAAATTATTTTATATAATTAAAAAAATAAATAAATAAATTTATAGACTAGAATTATCTGCAGATTTTTAAATCTATAATATTTTCTATATATTTTTACTCTATAAATACTATATAATAAAGGGGGTAGACTTGTAAAAATATTTTTTATAAAAAAATAAAAGTCTAAATAACTATAAATATTATTTAAAAGTATTACTAAATTTATAATACTATAAAAAAATAATAAAAATTCTGGTTAAGTAGAAAAAATACTATAATAAAAAAAATACTTAAAAATCTGCTGTAAATCTATATTATTTATAGATTTATAAAAAATTTATCTTACAGAAGTATAAAAAATTTAATTAAATAACTAAAAAAAAGCTAAACTAAATATAGATTGTAAACTATCTATAACTATATATTTTATATAATTAATATAAGCTACAGTATTTACTTACAGTAGCTAAAAGCTAAAATATATAAAAATATATTATTACTTTATAAAAAAGTAGTATTTATTATTTATATATAAACAGTTATTATACTTTTAGCTAATTTCTTTACTAATACAGTTATAAAAAATCTTTTTAAAAAAAAAATTATAATAGTATTTATATATTTAATTGGGCAGCAGCTACTAACTAGTTTAAATTATAAAAATATTTTTATAAAGCTGTATTTAAACAGCCAGCTGCCTAAAATCTAACTATTTAATATATAATATAAACTATATAATAAATTTATAGATTTAGATTTATTTATAATCCAACAGAAGCTATAAATTTATTTAAAAAAAAAACCAGATACTACAGCAGATATTACTTTTAAATAATCTAAAAACTAAACTATAAAGGGTAATTTAATAAAAAATAAAGTACTTTACTTTTTATTATTAGTTTATTTATAAAAAGCCGGCTAATTCTAGTTAGCCCTGGGTATATTTATAAAAAGCAGAAAAAATCTAAAAAATATAAAAATAAAAGCTGCAGAGGCTGCTATAATATTTATTATTATAAACTAAAAAATTTTATTTTTTTATATATAAATAATAGTATATAAAAAAAAAAATAGTAGCAGCAGTAGTAGTAGAGTTTATAATAAAGCTAAAAACTAAAATAAAAATTAAAATAATAGTAGTAGTAGATATAATAAAAATAAATATATTTATAGTAGTAGCAGCAGCAGGCCTAGTAGCAGCAGCAGTAATAAAAATACTTTTTTTTATAATAAAAAAAAATAATAAAGTATACTATAAATAGTTAGCTAAGTCTAAACCTGTTCTATAAACAACTTATATAAAAAAAATAAAATAAAATAAACTAACAGGATCTGTAGATACAGAGCTTAAATAATATACTATAAAAAAAAAATTAATTAGCTTTTATAAAAGAAAAAAAACAGGGCTAAACCCTTATAAAAAAAACTAATAAAATATTTTAAATACTACTGCAGAAAAAAAAGTTAGCTAAATATTAACTTATAAAAGCACCTGGAAAAGAAATACTATATAAAAAAATTTATTAAAAAAAAAAAAAAAAAAGTTGCAGAGAAAAAAAAGACTAAAGGCTTAAAAAAAAAAGTCTTTTTATATAAAAAAAAATTTTACTTCTGTAAGATTAGCTCTGCTAGTTTTAACTGCAAAGTATTTTAAACAGCTAAAATAAATAAATTAAAAAAGATTTAATACTATTTACTAGAAAAAAGTTTTTTTAATTGTAGGGGAGGCTATTTATAGGCTATTATAAAAAGGCCGGCTAGTAAATAGTAGACTATATATTAGTAAAAAAACCTTATAAAAATAATAATAAAAATAATATAGTATACTTTTATAAAAGTATAAAATAGTAAACTACCTTTTCTACTACTTTAATTTTTTATAAGAATATTTATAGAATAGAGGTTTTAATAGCGCTACTGTAAAAGACAATACCCTTTTATAAAAAAAAAAAGCAGTTATAAAAGTCTAAACAGCCCTTCTAATCTTTATAGATATTTATAAAAAAAAATATATATAGATAATCTAAAGCAGTAGTTATATAACAGCTAAGTAAGCCGGCTGCAGCCGCCCCTAAGGGCGGCAGCTGCCTTGCAAGTTAAGCAAAACAGCAACAACACCTTAAGGTAATATATTGGCACCCTTGGCTTTGCAAAAGCTATTCATTCATCACACTATTTCACCCTTTAGCCCTTATAGCCATATCAGATTATGACTAAGCAGCACACACCCTGGTCAGTATCTCAGGATATTCTTAAGAATTCTTAAATAAAGCAGTGATGTCAGTATTATTGACCTATTACTGATTATTCTCCCAGGAATGTAGGATCAATTAAGCTTTAAACCCTAGCATAACTATGTGTTTTCTAGTTGTTTGGATAGTGGTTGAAATAGTGACAACGCGTGGGACATGCCGAGCCGCCAACTGGTCAATCTGGCGGACCTCGACTCCCGAGTCTCCGGTCAACCTCGCCCAACAAGGACTCGGACTTTGGCACATACAAGACTTCTTTTAACAATTTTGGGGTGCTCCTCATCAAGCAGCCTGTGGAAGTGGCCCCTTTGACAATAAAACAAGACATCCAAGCTGGGCCAGGTAGACACTGATTACCTAACCTTTGATCTCCAGAGAACTACTTACATATTTCACCAAACCTCACTTCTACCTCACATCTACCTGTTCTAGCACTTTAGGACTTACAGAGACAGACTAAGAGCTCTCCATTGACCTAAACACAAATAAAGGGTTCCTACAAGCCTACAGACTGTGTGTGGTCCAAGCTAATTTGAAGAACATGCTAGTCAGTATTAGTTCACATGTCTGAAAGTTACTCCTACCTGCAGACCTATGTACAACAGTCCCAAACAACTGTATAGGTATCGAGTATTAAGGCAAAGAGAAAAGAGACGAAATATACAATAGTGACCGATAGCAACACAAGAACAAGGTCTCACCGGGTCCATGATCATCCTTGCTCAAGTCTAGTATACACCATGATAAAACATCCCCCCTAAAATAAATGAGCCAGCTCAAGGGTAATGCGAACCGAAAATTGACATAGGAAATGCTCCACAAAAGAAAAACGTCATGCTCATGCAAATGCTTCGTGGATCAAATCAATTTTGATCGGCATGCAAATGGGTTCATAGCGTATCATGCAGATCAAGATGCACTCAGAGTCGCAGGGCGTCCAAAATCTTCTTCGCCATCTCCCGATATTGCCACATACCACCGGCCACTTTTTTGAACTGAATTCCATGCAGCGAGAACAGAGGTACCTTGACAATGAGAATTTCGAATCGGAGTACCAGATTCTCTCCTGTGTCACTCTGGACTCGTGTCGTTGTCTCACCCATTACACGTTCTCCAACCACCCCAAGGTCGCGGCTTGGCCGAGGACCGGCTTCATCGTCAGAGCCCTCAGGAGTGGTCACAAAGCTGTGGTCAGGTGGCGCTCGGGCCCGACGGTGGGAGCGGGGCATCTGCCGTAGCTCCTCTCTGCCTTCGTCGTGGCTCAACAACCCTCCAAAACTTATGCGCCGACGATGGCCCGAAATCTGACCCTGCCGATCCGGGCTTGGTGGCCCAACATCCATTACTGTATCCAGGTCAATGCTCGGGGCATGACGACAACTAAAGCCTCCCTTAATCTCCGTGTAGTCGACACCAAGTTGTTTCAGAGCGCGAATGATATCCGCTCGGATTACAGGCAAAGGCTTGCTGCTTGTGGTCGAAACACTGAAGAGACCTTTGAGGTATACGGGCTTGGACAGGTCCTCCCCTTCATTGGCGCTCTCCAGAGCAGTGCCTGCTCCAGTAATATCCGCATCCGTCTCTTCAGGCACATTTGCTTCTCGGGTAGCATCACGCCTAGCTCGACGGGCTTGAATGCTTTCCCGACGAGCATGCCCTAATGACATTGTCCGGGCGGTATGGCCGCGGCCTAGTTTTGTTTCCCTCGCAGCCGTCGGCTCTTTCTGTACATTGGCATAATCGGATCCGCTGCTTGGCGGTGGTTGGCCCGTCGCGTCAGGGTCATTTCGCCGTGAACGACGAGGACGATAGTCAGCCGAGTTGACGCTAGCAGATCTTTCCAGGAACTTGTTGGACCGCGAAGCCGGCTCCGCTGATCCTGGAGCCTTGAGGAAATCGTTTTGCGGGAGTTGATTCGGCCCGGGTGGAACAGCTGTTGGAGATGGATCTGCGCGTCGGGTCCTCTTCACACTGAACCCTCTGGATAGCGGCGAGGCCAAGTCTGCGGGTGGCTGAACGTTGAGTGCCGGGGTGTGGGGACTGCCAAGTCTTCCGCGCTCCGGGTCGCGGCTGCGTTCCTTTGTCCTGCGCGTGCTGAACCGTCTCAAAATACCCGCTGCCGTGCTTTCTTTCCTCGCTGGGGTTTCTGGCTGCGACAACGCAGGACCCGGGGAATGTCCGGTCTGCGGGCCCAGGTGAAGATTCTTGATACCATCCGCCAAGTCGTCATCACCATGTGTTCGTGCCCTAGGGCGCGACCTTCTTCCACTGTCCTTCTCTCCTGGAACGTGATACTGGTTGGTATGAGCGGCCTCCGGCGCTGGAAGATCTGGCATCTGAAGCATTGAATCCCCGGATGCGTGTGGAACTCCCAATGCTCCAGGGTTCTTTTCGGCTCTTTCTCTGTCCAGCTTCTCCTTGACCAGATAGTAGACTGAAATTAGCGGGCTGTAGGCATTTATTGGGTCGTTGCCCAATTGAACGGCTTCCGCGGACGGCGCGGACAGCGTGTCCCTGCTGGCAGAGTTCCGTCGTTTGTAGAAATCGAACACCCCTCGCTTTTTCTCTGTATAGCTTGGAGCGGGTTGTTCGCGGGCGCTGACTTTTACAGCATGTTGGTAATCCTCAGACTCAATGACCTTGGTGAGCTGCGCAGTAATATAATCGGGGGGTCCGAAGTCGAAACCCGTCATCTTCTCAATGACTTCGGCGTCTAAAGGCAGAGTTATGGGTTCTCTGTACGGTAAATAATTTTCAGGGGCGCCATTGAAGCCCTTGTTCATCCAAGGATGATTCATGATCTCAGTCAGACTTGCACGTTGTTTGGGATCAGTAACCAGCATGCGCGAGATGATATGACGACACTCTGTGGGCTGGAGATCAGTATCAAGGACGCACGATAGACTGTGGATACTAACCTGCAGTGAGGCCTGGAGGGTACTCGAAAACGCCTTGTTTGATCTTGGCATGCAGCTTGGGCATGCTCTGATCGTCAAACGGAACTTTACCGCATACTAGAACATAGAGCACAATGCCAAAACTCCAAACATCCACCTCTGGGCCAGTGTACTGCCTTGCCTGCAGTAACTCGGGGGCAGCAAAGTAAAGACTTCCACAGAAGGTTTTGAGTTGACTTCGTGGAGAGAAGAGATTACTGAGACCGAAATCAATGATCTTGATGTCTCCAGTCTTGCTGATAAGGATGTTCTCGATCTTCAAGTCGCGATGCACGATGCTGTTGCGGTGACAATAGTCCAATGCACTCGCAATTTGACGGGCAAATTTGCGTGCCTGCTTTTCTTTGAGTTTTCCATGGGAAATGATGTAGTCCAGCATCTGACCCCCGTTGACGAGCTCAAACAGCATGTACCAATGGTAATTGGTCCTTACTACATCCCTCATACCACAAATATAAGGATGGTTGACGAGACTGACGATAGCTGCTTCACGCGCTGTTCGAATTTCCTTCGAGCGGTCTGCCCGTTCGGCCTCGCGCGAGCTGCGGTGCTCTTCGGTCGACTGCCGAGGTACGATCTTGACGGCCACCTGAACTGCAATGAGATTCTGCAACACAGGGCAAACCAAGTCACAATACTCACCTGTTCTCCTGTGTCCATGTTTTTCCCAACTTTTACTTTACCCATACTGCCGGCACCTAACGTCTTGCCCAAAGCCCACTGACCGGTGGGCGTGGTGATCATTGTGCGACGCCTTGACTGGACGGGATTAGCCGGATGTAAATGAGCGGCGGCAGCCTGGGGCTGTCCTGCGACACCCTCGGGCATGACGGGGCCCGCAGTCGCCATATCGACACTGTCTCGTTGATGGCCTTGAACTGATAAATTTCTCCGGTGCTTGTTGGAGGAGGAATCGGGACGGTAGGAGGTGGGAGGGCGCTCCTGTGAACGGTCCCGCGAGGATTCCCTTCGGGGAGTAACTGGGGGAGCTCCGCGAGAAGCGTCAAAATCCCGACGGGCTATGGTGTCAAAAACAGCCTGGTTCGCAGGGGGCCGACGATCATAAGACTGAGACTTGGAATGGGATGGGAGGTGACGAGACTGGGATTGGTAGTGATATTGCGACGAGGATGGTGGTTGTTGATGTTGTGGTTGTGGTTGGGAGGCTGTCGCAGGTCGGACAGCAACACTTCGGGTACGGTGAGGGAGCTCGGATGAGGGAGGACGATAGGAGGGAGATCGGGAGGAAGTCGAGTGACTGCGGACGACCGAAGGCGACGCAGTTGATGGGGCAGTAGTGGACATCACGGTGGGCACTGGACTGGAGAAATTCCGAGCCAACCACAGGCCAAGCGTGTGCTTTTTTCAGCCCAAGACCGCCTTTAGTATGGGAAATGCTGGGATTTGGGAGGGGAGTGGAGGAGAGGGGGATATTCAATAATAGCGACCGGTCGGGAGGAAGAAGGGGAGAGTAAGTGGGGGGGAGGAGAAGACGGGCGTAGTTAAGACGTTTTTGGCTGACGGAGCGAGCGCTGGAAAGGATAAAAACAGCCTAAAGTGACTTTTAAAAAAGATTGCTGATGGCTGCAGTTCCACCCATGTGAGTACTGTATGTACAAAGGCTCCCCAAGATGGAGTAGGGGGAGGGGAGGGGAGGTGGAGGAGAAAGGAAGGACAGACAAGGACGGACTAAGAAACAGGGTGGGGGGGGGAGAGGAGGAGGAGGATGGATGGATGGCAGGGGAAGAGAGTGAGTGAGATCTAGGGAATGTGGGACGGAGAGAAGAAGAGAGGAGAGAGTATGATGAGATCAGGGGAATGAGGAAGAGGAAGAGGAAGAGGAAGAGGGAGGGAAAAAAGGAAGAGGCAGGCAAGGCAAAGGAAAAGCAAGTAGTGAGTAAGAAAGACATGGAAGACAAGAAAAGAATGCACGAGGGAATAACAGTCATGGGAAAGTGACGATGGATGGATGCGGCTGCGGAGAAGGAAGACAGCCAGTCCCAGTCCCAGACACTCTGTATTCTGCACGTACTGAACGTTGGCTGGACTTTTCAACAACAACCTTCAACAACCTTGAACAGGGGCCACTGCACCGCAACCAGAGAGGGAAGTTTGGTTCGGGTACCGTATGGCGCCGTCAATTCCTCCTACTTAGTACTAGTCTACTCTACTCAGTATACAAACAAATGGGTCTGACATTTGGGTCGCTCCGCTGACTCGTTCTATTTAAGAAATTTAGAGATTGGAACGATATATTAATAGTGTTCTGGTGTTGGCCAGGCCCCCACAACAAGAGCAATAATAACGGTAATAATCATGATAAAATAAGAGCAGGTGGGAAATGCAGAAATTGATATTTCTGTGGATTTGTGTTTCAATGTTAAACATGACTGTGGCTCGTATTTTGCTTCTGCATGGAACATGGATTCATTGATATTCATTAGGTTACGCAGGGGAAACAAGACACTACATAGATACACACTGCCAATTCATTTCCACCACTTCGATTCGGGCTAATAAACCGCGGTTAAGTACAGTCAGTACATCCCTCAATTTCCCCCAGTGAACACGGGGCGCTTGCCCTTATTTGTAAGCTCAACGTTCACGTTCACGTTCACGGGCCTATCACGCAGACTCGCCCTGTGCCGTTGCCCTCCCACGAGGCAGTGGCACGTCGGAATTTTTGGTCCTCAATCCTTTACTTTGGGCATGGATGGGCAGGATGACGAGGGAGGCAGATGCTGATCACTGGAGATTCCCAGTTGATCGGTCCAAAGTAGATTGGTCCTATGAGCTCACCTCACTTGCCAAGCATTATGCGCTGATTGATGATACTCATACTCATAATTATGGAGCAGAGCGAAAAAAAAAATCCCCTGAGATCTGTCACCCGCGCCCTTTATACTATGTACTGTACCATCCATATACAACCATTCTTCTTCTTGTTGTTGTTACATGATCCTGAAGGGTATGTGTGTTCTGACAGTGCGGAGCATCATATGCGCTATAAGTGTTCTCGTAGTGCACATAGACTTAGTTTGCATAATGAAAACATGAAAGTCACTGGCGGCCATTAAATGACATTGTTCTTTAGACATCCGGGTTGAAAGCATAAAGTTTGGGGGTGGATTTGTGTGTTTAGCGTTGATGTTCTCAGCAACTCCGTACCTACGGAGTACACGGCGTACAGGTTCCAGAGATGAGACCCGCCCCCGTTTACCAGCCACAACCAGTGGCGGTGCCCAGAGCCGACCGTACGTATTCCGGTCCGTCACATGTCTTCGTCCTTGGCCGTCGCAACATTGAACTGCTTCCCAAGTCACTCTGATTCTCCATATCTAACCAGCATCGCCTAGTCGCTCTCTCAAGGTAAGCTTCCAGACCATGTATACTCTTATCAATTACAGTTGCTGACCGTATCAATGCGACTCAGCCATAGTAATGCTTGACTGAACCCACGCCCCGCATGGCTGGTAAAAGAACTCGAGCCGCCTTCGAGGCCGATCTACAAGCACAGCAGTCACCCTATGCTCTTTACGGCACTCCCCTTCCACCTTTAGATGCCAGCGTCCGTGACGATGGCTCCTACGCGCCCATCTGGAAGCAAGAAGTGACCGATGACCGGGGAAGAAAACGCCTACATGGCGCCTTCACCGGTGGATTCAGTGCCGGGTGAGCTCACGATTCATGGATCGCTGTGACACACACTAAAGGTCGTCCCTCTTCAGGTACTTCAACACTGTCGGGTCGAAGGAGGGATGGACCCCTGCAACCTTCGTCTCATCACGCCAGAACCGGGCCAAGGACAACCGGAAACAACAGATTGAAGATTTTATGGATGAGGAAGATATCCGGGAAGCAGAAGAAGCAAAGACGGTCTCCACAAACAACGACTTCGCAGGGTTTGGCACGACCGATGCCGAGATGGCGCGTCGCGGGGGGTTGATGGATCTCCTTAAAACCACCGGGGAAACCATGGGTGTGAAACTTTTGAAGAAGATGGGGTGGAGGGAGGGTCAAGGCGTTGGTCCCAAAGTGCGACGACGTGCCAATCTAGGTGACGGTACCACGCAGGGTGGTGAAGATGCCAACAAGACGTATTTGTTTGCCCCGGAAAATCCGCCTATGGTGGCCTTCATCCACAAAACCGATCATAAGGGACTTGGCTTCCAAGGGGAGGCCCGCCTTGACGCTCGCGCGTTGACACGCGGTGACTCTGACGGCGAGGAAGATGACTCCTTCTTTGGTAAAAGACTCATAGCCCCAGGAAAGCCTAAACAGCCCAAAGCCAAGGAAACTCGTCGCGGGGGCTTCGGCGTCGGAGTACTCAACGATACTGGGTCAGATGACGAAGACCCATATTCGATGGGGCCTCAGATCTCTTACAACCGCGTCATTGGGGGAGACAAAAAGAAGAAGAAAAAGCCAAAGTCCATTGAAGACGCAAAACCAGTCACGGGATCCTCGAATCCTCTGATAACCAACAAACCCGTTTATATTCCCAAGAAGGTTCTCGCTGCCAAAAGCTCAAGTGGCTTCAGGAAATGCCACGATGGCCGTTTACCGCTGGAAGGATTCCTGCTTATTGATGGCATCTCCAACATGACTATCTCCACCCAAGAAAAGAAGTATGCGGCCCCTGAAATACCGGCAGGCTGGAAGTCCAATAAAACACCGACTCAAAAACAAGACGTATCGAACTACGTTTCTACGGCAGAGGCAGCCAAGGCCTCATCTCTGGACCCAGCCGCTCGAGCTGCGCTTTTGGGCGAGGCGCAGTTACCAGGAAAATCTATATTCGACTGGCTGACCCCAGAAGGTCGAGAGCGAATTGCGAAGTTGACTGGGAAGACAGACTTACCGCCAGCCTTGAGTGAGAAGGCGCCAAAGGGCTACGAGCTCTCCGAGGCGCAGAAGCGAAAAGACTTGTGGGACTTAGTGCCGAAACTAGACAAGCAGGTGGCTGTTCAGGCTTTGACCCGAGCGGCAAGTGGCTGGATGCCATATTCGGAAGACCTGGAGAAACGGAGACGCTATCGAGCCTTCCTTGAGGTGCGAGCTGGGCTTCGAGATACCATGCCTGATCGAGTCCCTGGGTCCACTACGGATGAATGGGCCCTGGAGCTGGACGAGTTCGCCCGAGCTGCAGAGGTCTTCAAACCCATGTCTGGGTTGATGGCATCGCGTTTTACTTCGGCTTCATCAGGCCCGAGAGAGTCGTCCGATAAGCTCGATGCAACATCGGCTGAGCCGCTCCTCAGCAAGCCTGCCGCAAAACCCGAAGACCCTGCAGTAGAGGCCGCCCGAATTGGCATGTTCGGCCCGATGACTCGAAGCACCATATCACTCTATCCCACGCGCCTGCTGTGTAAGCGATTTAACGTCAAGCCTCCGGATCACGTTCAGATAGATCCTGGAGAAGCAACCGGACGCGCGGATGCCCCGCCATCTGACGGGCGCTTCCAGTCCGCTGGGTACCAAAATGTTCCAGGACCCAAAGAATTGGTGTCGCGCGAAGTCATGAATCAGCTTCTGGTTGACGCCGGTCGAAGTGGATCCCTTACGTCTGGTGCAGAAGATGCATCGTCGGCGCAAGCAGCGTTGGTGGTCCTCCGCGAGCCGGTGGTCATTGAGCCGGAACGCAACGAAGCTTTGGAGGCGGAGCGGCCAGGAGAAGCGGTGTTCAAGGCTATCTTTGGTAGTGATGACGAGGATGAGGACGAAGAACTAAGCTGAGCTGATATTGAGTAATTATTAGCCTGTTGTATGTGTTGTATTGTATACCACCATTGACTATAGAAGCTTAATTATGACCTCCAGCCTTGGAGTGGATAGGAGTTGATGATACGACCTGCCAGATTCCTGACCGCTAGTGTTCCTGTAGATTGCAAAGCTTTGTTGTAACATGAAGTGGTGACTAACTGATAATTCAGTCTGTATTGAATCGCATGCCGGAAGATTTCTTTGCAAACCTCATTCTTGGCTGCGCCACCATCTCATCTCGTCTGCGGTCAAGCCTAATGGTCTGGCTGGAAAGTCTGTCACACAGCAGGGAACAGTAGAAAAACACCACTGGTGTATTAATAACACTGGAAGGGGAATGGATGAATGAACCTGAATGATAGGTGATTTGATCTGAGACGGTGTAAGTGTATTTGAGGGATTGCGATAGTTGGCTCTCCTCCTCCCTTTTTTCCCCTCACGTCAAAAAACCGGCGTTCGCTCCATTCCTTCCTTCCTTCCCCTCTTCGGTCTCTGAACCTGAACCTCGTTCTCCTCTTCTTTTTGTTTCTTCTCTCCTTCTCCCTATTACATCTTCCTTCCTTGCCTTGCCCAGTCTTCCCCTAAAACCTCCAAGTCACGTTCTCTTAGGGCTCTGCTCTGCTCTGCTTCTCCTACTATTGCTAGCAAAACAGAGAGGAGTGTGTCTTCTCACAGTGTTGATTTGCTCCCCCGCGGTGTCGTCATGCGAGTGAGCTGCAACCCGCCGCTCCGTTGCCACCACCAAATAGTAGCCCATTGATCCAGCCAATTCTCACCACTGTTCGGGTCATACGACTGGCTTCCCAATTAGATGGCTTGAACAAACCGGCCTCCAGTCTCTGAGCACCGGCACATTAGCCCCCAATAAGCTTGTCTTTCTCCTCTGGTTCCTCGCGCGCAACCTCCCCTTCTCCTCTTTCTTCTCCGCCGCTTATCTTCGTCGGATCAATACCTCTTTGCTGTCCTGCAACCAGTCTGGACGTCGCTGGCCCTAATCAATTTTTTAGTGCTTCCTTCCGGCTGATGGAGCTTGTTCTTCCAAGATGGTATGTCTTTTTTCTCCTTCTCGAAGGTTCACTCGTGTGTCATGCCTGAGTTGTACATGCTTCTGCCAGGAGCTTCGCATACTCACCATACCACACACCCCCCTCCCTCGCTTCTACAACGGTCTTGGCGGGTCTAACTTTTAGTATTTTCATCGCCGACTAGGGTTGCTGCTTTTCCTCATCTCGCGACAGCGATAATTCGGCCTATGCAGCGCAGGTAGCCACGGAAGAGCGGCGTCGCGAATCGTCTCCTCATCGAGCGATTACAACCAGCAATGCGCTCTCTGGCACCAACGCTTCTACTAGCACACGCGGCGCCCGGACTATCCGGAATGATCACTTTACTCTCAGCCAGCACTACAACGCCCCTATTCGTCGTCATGTCTGGTATAGCAAACGACGGTTGTGGAGTCGGGCGCAGCTTGATCAGGAGCGCACGGCATTCTTCGAGACCAGAGTCACGGGTCGCCCGGAAATCTGGGCTGCTCTGTCTGCAGCAGTGTCTCTAATGCGGGCTGGCGATTTGTCAACAGCACAGACCATTATTGATGCAGCTGGCATCACAGTCCCAACCGGCGATCTCTGCCAGGGTTGCTACGACGAACAAGGCGCACTTTATCGGTTACCACAATGCATTGTGAGCGACCCTGAGAACATGGTTCGATCGGTGCATGATCAGGAGGACGAATTCGACACCGACGATGGCAGGTTGTCCTCGGACGAAGCTTCAGGGGATGATCTGATCGCAACCGACGTCGACCTGGAACGCCGGCGTGATGAGAAGGGGAAGACCAGCGAGCGGGATTTGATTCGCGTGCGAGCACGGCTGAGTGACCGTGGAGGTCCGGACATTGACTTGTCGGTGGGCAAGACCGAGAATGTTGGCTTTATTGCACGTAAAGTGCAGCAGGAAGCAGTGGTACGTCATCACGCATTATACTTCAATCGTATGCAACTGCATCGAACCATATCGCTAACCTTACATGAAGATCCCTCGCAGTTACCGCGTAAGAATTGCCTACCTGGGCAAGATTCTGAAGGAGCACCAGCCCCTGGTCGACCAGGGTTGGAACCCAGGCCATGTCGTCAACGCATTAGTGGTCCCGCGACATGTCCTTTCATGACAGTTCACGAACGGTTGAGAACGTGCCTGATCTATTTGACATCAATAATGCTTATGCACAACCTACCCGGCTTCTGCAGCTCTCTTTCAACAGATCAGCATGCCACATCGATGGCTGATTCGAGATGACTCCGTGGGTCAGACCCTACCTTCAGGCCCTTTGACTTCAACCCTTACCGCGTCTTACCGCATTTTCTCAGGGTGCCAGCTTCATCCGTCACCCTACTTGACACAACGATTTTACATTGCAACTAATGACAGTCTTGCATATTACGCTCATCTCCTCTCACATTTGTTCTGGTGCTTTATTTTAATCTTTCCTGCTGTTCGCATAATACCCCCGCCTACGTTTGGCTGATCTTTCCTGCCTCTCCGCTGTTTTGATTCCCCCTTTCGATGTCAATGAATTCATCATTTCCAGTTCTTGGTGCATGGCTTACCCCATGTCGCATACCTACTCTTACTCATTGCCTGATCTGTTATGTCCTTGCGCGCTTTTCTACTGGATTTTGCGTGGTATGCATATGACTTGTTGACTTATATGTTTGGAACGAGCCCCAGTCTGGTCAAAGTTGCTATTTGATAGTATACCTGCCTTCTACGGGTAATGTATGTCGACACTTTCGAGCTTGTTACGATCATGTATCATGCGTGATGAATTATGGGTCACGAGATTTTTCCCGCTACGTACGATTCAACGACTATATTGCCTTCGTCTGTCAAGCTTCTGGTTTTTTTCTTTTTTTTTTCTCTCCATCATATGAACATGCATTCATTCTGTTGGTAACTATTTAGCCAGCCAGCTATGAGCAAATTAGTATATTCCCCGCCGTAGTCCGCTCGCAGAGAAGTCCTTCCACATACCTCAATGGGGTCGAGCCTGCTTTGCAAAGTATATATCATGGCGACGACACAGCGGACGACCCACCCAGGCACAACATCCTTCGTAACCACGGTACCCTTCCAGAACCGCATAACATCAACCCCCCAAAAAATGTATAGAAACGAATTGTATCTTCCTACTCTCGATAACAAGTGCGTTTTTGCAGTAGCAAAAAGAAAACCAAAAGAAGAATGAATGCATCATCCGTGAATCGAACACGGGCCTCATCGATGGCAACGATGAATTCTACCACTAGACCAATGATGCTGAAGCGGATGACCGGTACGCCATCTGATTCGCTGTTGGAAATTGTTCTTGTCTTTGGCATTATACGGTACCTATCTAGATAGCCACCCGTGACAGGCTCATCTCTGACACTAGGTAGATACGGGGTACCTAGTAGGCGGCTGGGAGAATAAGGTTGAGAGAGGTAATGTCCCCGGTATTCGCGCGAAGGTAGAACACAACAATGATCTTTCTATAGTATACACAGAATAACAAAAACATGATGTTGGACGTGGTTGAGTCTACCAAGCTAAGCTATAGCAGAAGACCTTTGATTGAGACTCGAGGAGTCCAGGGTTAAGTTTTCCGGAAGGAACTACCTAATGATGCTCTGGTGTGCGTGATGATTGCCTGGCTCTTAGGAGTGTCGGAGTGAAGTTCCGGAGGGGGGAGGAGATCGGAACACTTTCCAGCTTTTGCCGTCTTGAGTGGATGGATGGCACTTGGTTGATGGAATAGCATACAGTTGATCGTCACGTACTGTACTGTATCGTGTGGGTTGCGTAATGATGTTGAAAGTTTCATGGAGCTTATAGATGGGGATGTAGAGATTCAGAGAAGTGCTTGACATGATCCCTTGACCACTCTCGCAGAGACAGGGCTGAGATAGTTCTAGGGCTACTCTGGAACCAATTGACCATGCGGACTGCCTGTGGAAGAAATTGGATCCATGCCATCTTAAGTGACCCATGAATACAGCAAAGCTTAACCATAAATCCCATCAACACATAATTCAGGGCACAGAAACAAGCAATCTACAACAATCTTCCGTTCTCGGCCTCTCTGCCCTTGGGCGTGCGTCCAGACCGGCGCTTGAACACCCGGCAGACCACCCTTGCGCCATCCACGACCCCCCGCACCAGGCTGGTGGGATTGTAGTGTTTGACCCGGAACATGTAGTATAAAGCCACGGTACCGAGAATGTTGAAACCGATGTAAGCCCAGCCGATACCGTAGTTCCGCCAGCGCTCGCTGTAGTCTATTCCACTGGTTAGCCGACAACTTCATAGACAAGAGGAGATGGATAGTACGTACAGATGTTACTCGACGCGAGGTATTGATCGGCATTTCTCAACTGGCAGTACTGGCATCCCTGTGTCGCTGTGGGGTTGTACAATTGCCCCGGGGCAACCTGCAGGTACTGAGCCATGTAGTCTCCGCAGGTCTGGCCAGATGGAGGGTTGAACACGCTCATCTCCTCGCTGGAGCAACGAATGGCTCTCCCGTGTAACCCCGTCGCCGTGATTCCCGCAATCAGGTACGTCAGGGGAGAGACCCGGTACATGAAGATCCAGAATCCCGGGAGAGCGGAGGGAGCCTGCATGACACCGTTGAAGGTGAGCGCCATGATGAACAGTAGGGTTGCGATCGAACCTCCTGTCTCGGCGTCGGGTAGGGCACAGATGATTAGGGATGCGAAAGTCGAAGTAAACACGTAGAACTGGGTGATAAGAAGCAGCATAAGTCCCTGGCGGGCGGATGCCTGGTTCGCTCCGTAGACTGGGTAATAGTAAGATGCCCATGCGATTATACCCGCAATTACCTGGTAAGGTATCTCGACAAGAACGTTGGCAATCAAAAAGGCCGCCCATGAATAGGCCTTCGACGGTCGTTCTCGAACCTCATACAAAGACCGCTGGACTACAAATTTGGGCATGATTCTATTCTCGTTAGTGGCGGTGTCCAGGCAATTCGACATGAAACTTACTGTTGCACCAGGGTGGAGAATATCGAGGTCATCATGAAGGCGCTAAACAAGACATCCTGGAACCCTTGCTGAGTGCTGTCCGGTTTGAAGAATGTAAAGCCAATGAAAAGAGATGCAGCTGTAGCTAAAGCAAGCTTGGCCCAGACGTAAGCAGGCTCACGCCAGTATTGCTGGAACACTCTGTGCGTTACATGCCAAACCTGGTTAGTAAAGGGCATAGCGAATTCGCTCTTCTGGGACGTATTGTCTTGAGACTCAGGAGCTGATGATCTCTCCTGACAGATTCTGTCAATCTCTTTCTGGATGTTCTTGGCCTCCTGGCTATCGTTCCAGACCGCCGCCCAATCTTGGGTGGCCTTTCCCGATGCTCCGGCTCCAATAATCTCAAGCATGTACTCAGCGGGCTATCACATGTTAGTACACTGTATGACTGGCGGACATGCTACTCACATTCTCAGATGAGCCGCACGGTCTAGCACCGTTGACTTCGAAGTAGTCCAACAGGGTCCGGGATTGGTCTCCGATGTCCCCGAAGTATACCGTTCGCCCCCCTTTAGCCAGGAACAAAAGACGGTCAAATTCCTGGAATAGTAGCGCGCTTGGCTGATGGATAGTCGAGAGCACTGCTTGACCGTGATCTGCGAGCTTCCTCAGAAAAGAACAGATAGCCCATGAGCTTTGGGAGTCCAAGCCACTTGTCGGCTCGTCAAGGAAGATGAGTAGAGCAGGCTTTGCAGCAAGTTCAACGCCGATAGTCAATAACTTCCTCTGCTCCACATTCAGTCCTTCGCCTGGCGTGCCCACGATTGCACTGGCAAAGTCTTGCATATTAAGCATTTCAATAACTTCCTCAACATACTTGTACTTCTCTTTCTTTGACACTGATTTGGGCTGGCGCAAGAGGGCACTGAATCGCAACGCCTCTCGCACAGTTGTTGTAGACAGGTGAAGATCCTGCTGTTGCACATAGCCGGTCTTTCTAGGAAAGCTGTTGTCAAGAGCTTTACCGTCTACCAATGTCTCGCCGGTGACAACTCCTATTGAGACACGTTTTGCTAGCACATCAAGTAGAGTAGTTTTGCCAGCGCCTGAGACTCCCATCAAGGCTGTGAGAGTTCCTGGCTTGACCCAACCCGAAACATGGTCGAGAAGGCGCCGCTCCCCTCCCTTAACGGGTATGTCATAGCAGACATTCCGCCATGTGAATATGCTATGCTGCTCGGGAATGGCAGACGCATCTTTCTCGTTCTCAGCAGACCTCTGAGCTAAGGCAGTATCTGTGGTGCCTTCTTCAGCTTGTGACTTCTTGTCCAGGTTGCGCACATGCGGGGGCACATGGCCTCGTCGGAATACGAGAAATTCGGCCTTTGACGAAGTAGCAGAGTTGAGCTCGGTTGCCACCAGGTACAGTGCGGTAAAGAAAATCCAGAAGCCAATCAGAATTCCCAGATTTCTCCATTCATGTGCGTAGGTATAACTGTACTGGGACTCGATATAAGCATCTCCAGACACAGTCCGCTCTCCTGCGACAGCGCCCCGCACAGGGCAAATGAACGAGTCCCCACTTAAGTTAGGGTAAGCGGGCACAAAGCCCGAGCATGTGAAGCGTCTACCGTGAAACTCGTTGGCTACCAGAGCCTCAAATGTGTAGTAGACCGGGTTTATCCATCGAATCCAGCTAAACCACGGAATACTTGACATCTGCGGAGTAGGGATCACGAAGCCAGTGTAGATAACAATGGCCAATACCATGACACCGGCCATAGCCATGGCTTGGGCCAGAGTTTTAGTTGATGCGGCAAGGGTGCGGAAGATGCCGGACATTGCGAGTGTGCTCAGGAACGTGAAGAGGAAGAAAATGAAGAATTGTGATGCCGCATATCGCTTTGACTCGTTAGTTGCATGTCACCCCTGGCAATCTTAGCAAGGCGGTTCACTTACGAGGCCAGCCAGGAAATAGAAAATGATATTGAAAACGACAGCGCAGACAAATTTGACGGGTATGTCGGACACAATACCACCAAATGCTTCGGCGAATGGGTGAACAAAGGCGTAAGAGGCTTGCTTCTCAATGATAGGACGTTGATCGTAAAGTGAGTTGATTTCCGTAATACTGATTAGGGCATTCATACTACGCAGAATTAGTGAAGTGGTCGATGACGAATGAAGGATTCCGCCATGCCAACTTACAGAACTGCAAAGAAAAGAGCAGCTCCCTTGCTCTGGAAGCCTTGAGTAGCATTTGGTGTCCTAGACGCGTCAGAGGATGCGGAAGCTAGAAGGACTGATGCACTTACCCAAAATACATCGAGCCGATGATCAAGGACATTGCGATTCGACCAATGACATTTGTCAAGGTTGAGGGCTTATCATTCCAGATTCTATAACAGTGAGTAGACAAACAGTGCTAGGGGAAACTAGAACACACCTCTGGTAGGCTCTGATTGTGCAGAGCTTGACCTGCATTGGGATCGAAATAACATAAGGGCTCTTCGGCCGCACATGTTTTGCCTGTCTGACATGCTTCATCTCATGGAACATCTGTTCTGACTGTCCCCCCAACGGGAACTCCTTCATATGCTGTGCGATTTCCTCCTGCAGCCTAGCACACTGAGGACTTTTCTTCCAACAGGCTTCAAACTCATCGGGAGTCCGAGGAACCTTGCTTTCCATCCCCTCTCGTGCTTTGCGCTCCTGAGGGTTGGTCACAGATGTTAAGAAATCACCGGTCGTCTGGCGCGGAGGACAGTCCCAGCCCATGTTAATAAAGTAATCTCTGGCTTCGCTGCAAGGCCCGAAGTAAATTTCCCGGCCTTCATACAGAACAATGGCTTTGTCAAAGACATCGTAGATCGCCTGAGATGCCTGGTAGATTGCAACTGCATGACAGGTACCAACCAGGTCAGAACTGACTCGCAGCGCCTTCACAAACTCAAGCGCACTCGCCGAGTCCAATCCTCGAGTGCTGTTATCCCAGGCGCCGACAGGGGCTCCCGAGACTATTAGAAGTCAATACCTGAAGATACACTGGGTAAGCATCGTTCACTTACGTGCCATTTCAGCAATGCTAAGAGCATGTCAGTACGACACACGGAAAAGAATTGTCGGTAGAGGGGAGCCAACCTGACACGCTTTCTTTCTCCACCTGAAACTCCTCTAATGTAGTCATCGCCGACTAAGCTTTTTGTTAGCAATTTCCGAGGCTTGGGGGCCTTTGGTGAGAATGCATACCCTTCGTGTTGTACGTATGCGTTAAGCCAAATATAGTCATCGCAACTTGAGTAACGTACTTGGCGTATCGCTGACGAGTGATATCGCGCAACCGTACCTCAGGAGCTCTTGCAGCAGCGGCAAATTCCAGTGTTTGTCCGACTGTGAGGTGAGGAAAGTGCTTGTCCACTTCTTGATTGTAAAGTACCTCGCCCTTGAACTCCTTGTGCATTTTCTCCATGGAAATGCCGTTATATTGGATCTCAGAGCTTTTACGAAGCTTCAATCCGTGTAGCTCTCCACACAAAGACTTCAGAAATGTCGAACATCCGCTCCCAGGACGGCCCAAGACTATCAGCAGCTCACCACTTTTCAGCAGCCCGTCGAAGTCACGTAATATGTGCTTCTCTGGTGAGTGCTTTAGAAAGCCCAGGTATTCCTGCGGCCTGAACGGGGCCAGCAGCAACGAGGGCACGCTGCTCTGATATTGCAGGGCTGAGCCGGAGCCAGAGACATTCAGATTCTGGAAGACTATACCAGTGGAGGGAGGTCGGGGAATGCCCTCTTTGTCCAACAGCCTGAGCACCTTCCGAACCCATTTGTTATGATCGAACTGACCACTTGTTGGATCTAAAACAGGGTCGCCCATTTCCAAGTTCTCAACAGTATCTTTGCGTTCAATGCTCGCCCCGCCAACGCCTGAGTCGGTAGTTTGACGCCGGGTGAAGGTGGACTGATAGTTGGAGGCTATGCGAGTCAACTCGGCTTTGCGCTCGGGGTCCATTTGCTCGAAGAATGTGCTATTTTCGCGCTCCAGCTTGGGCGATCTGAGGGGAGTGATCTCGTCATCCTGACCGTTTCCCGCCGAGGAGGTGGGCGAGATGTCACTGGTCTCTTTGTTGCTGGCCATGGTCTGAGGTGCTTAGCGTTCAATCAGGGGCCGGTAAATCGACGCTAATGATGAGACAGAGGAAGTAGAACGATGAAAGCGCGCGTATTAGGAAATAATGTCAGTTAGGAAGAAATCAGAGGGTGAGACGGTATATGAACTGCTTCGCTCGCCGAAATGAAGTGCCCCACCAAGGCAACAGGGATTGCCCATGAACAGCAGGGGTACTTATTTTGCACAGTACATGGCAGGGTAAAATCTCCTTTCATCCCCTGCCAGTAAACTGATTAAACTTCTTCACTTTGAGTGCTATTAGTGGTGATGTCATGATAAACCATGTGTAACAACGGGGCCAATTGTGGTAACGAGGAGCGAATTAGTTAGGTAGCATCCACAAGGAACCTCGAGCTTGGAACCTCTCTTCCAAGGCAAGCATGGGAAATCAGCTTTGAGCCGAGCCGCTCTGTGTTCTGAGTCTGAAGGGAAACTGCGTCAGAAAGATCCGGATGCGGAAGATCCGTCTAAGCTTGCAGATAATTGCTATTCATGGTCCCTGTCGTTGCTACCCAACCATATCGCTCGCCCTGCTCCCCCGACGGCTTTGAGTGGAGCTTAAAGTCATTGTACCTATTGTGATTTACAGGGGACACAAGTATAATACTCCTCATTCTAAAGCTCGCATTAGCCGTGTTGTGTATGCTTGGCAAGTTCAGACGTTGTGTATAGGAAGCTGGCACCAGAATGATACAACCTGCTGTAATCGAAGAACAAAAACCTTGTACGATACACATTTGGAGAGCACTATGGGGCCATAGCAGCTTGACGAAAGGCCATCATGGACTCAATACGATATCTTGAAGTATGAAGGTGCCGCAGTGTAGATCCCCCGGCCTCGGAACGGAGTGGAGTGTCCAGTAAGCGGATGTTCTAAAAAAGTATCCGATTATGTAACAAAGCACATAAAGCTTCATAGCGATGATGCATGCACCCCACGCAGCAACTGCAACCATGCACGTATTTTCATCTTTTGATCGGTCTAGCCACTTCCTGCTTGCTGCCACTGAAGTATCAGGGGATATCATAAATTCTACGGCCAAAAGGTTCTCATGCCACTTTCTCTATAATGCAATCCCTCCAGCAAGACTCAGTGCGCCATCAAGAGCCTGGCAGCACAATCCATGGGACCAACAAAGAACTTGACCCTTGGGAAAAGTAAACTGGAAAAGCCGCACCAATCCTCATCTCACGATGATCTTGGGAGAGGAATACTGACAGCAATTCATTGATACTGTACTTAGGATGTGCCAGAGCAACATACACATCTACGCATGTCAAAGACGGGCGTGCAGCAGAATCCGCCTCTTGGCAATGACGCAGCGCCCTCAATTGATCCGCGAGCTTTGGTGCCTTGCCCTTTTTCCCGCTTCCCCGCCATGAGGCTGCGGGTGCCGGTAACCGAGACGGAGGCAAAATCTCCAACCTGAACTATTCCTACGTAGCAACAATCTGGCTCAACAAGAGTGGTTTTCACTCTTGACTGTCGCTACTTCTTCCCCTGCAGAAGCTCGAGTCGCGTGTCTTACCGCACGCTCGCTCCTCCACTTATCGACCGGCCTAGATCGTCATTGCTAACGATTGGTGCCAACACCTGAACAGCACGCTTGCAAGCACCAGCCATCAGATCGGGTATAATAGGCGACCGGCTATCATTTTCTGCTGCTGTTCGGGGGCATGATTTGGCTTCCCAACTTCTTTATCGATAACTTGTGCTCGGTAGACTTCGCTCTTGACTCGATTAGTAGGTATAGCCTATGGCCAAGGCAGGACGAGTCTCCACTCTGGCTATTCTGACTTCATCGCTCCCTGAAGCCCCGAACTTTGCCTCCAGGAAAGACATCCCTTTGTCTTTTGATTGATTCTGTGGAATGTCAATTGTCTCTAGACAACTAATGCAAAGTTTGGGATCTCGGCAATGGCAAGCGAACTTTTGTCTCCCCGACACACGCGCAATCGTGGGGACGAAGGATATCGCACACCGACGATCGAAGATACACAGAATGATCTCGGGGCGTTTCCATTCCCGTCTCGAGGGAGCCAAGTGCGCGAGGCGCATACTTCGGCTCTTGAGGCGCTGAACCAACCTTCGTATCAACGGACTGAAGCGCACGGCAACAAAGAAAAACGCCGGCGACGGGAAGTGGACTGGGCTACGGCGAAGATTGGATGGAAAGGCAGGCTTCGTCACTTCACATGGGCCTACTTCACATTAACCATGGCCACGGGTGGGATTGCGAACGTTCTGTACTTTAGTAAGTCGATGCACTCTCTCACGCTGGAGACCCTTGTAAATTAATCCCGTCATAGTTCCATACAGATTCCGCGGCTTGGAGACGATCGGCATCATATTCTTCCTGCTCAACTTGGTTCTCTACGTTATCATATGGTGTCTGCTGCTTACGCGCTTTTACTTATACCCCTACACGTTTAAAGCATCGTTCTTGCATCCGACGGAGTCTCTGTTTGTCCCTGCATCGTTGGTTTCCTTTGGCACGATCCTGATCAACATCTCGCAATATGGACCCGACCATACCGGACCGTGGCTCACATATGCGGTGGGGATCCTGTTCTGGATTGACGCCGCCCTAGCCGTCATCTCTTCTGCGGCCATATATTTAATCCTGTAGATGAACCCCAGATATCCTTTCCATTGGCTGCAAAGCTAATGTTCTTCCGCGCAGGTGGTCAACGCAAACGTTCACCATCGCTCAGATGACACCCATCTGGATCTTCCCCGCATATCCTATGCTGATCATCGGCCCTCATGCGGGCGTCCTAAGCTCGACCCTCGAACCCTCTCGCGCTCTGCGCATCATCATCGGAGGTACGACCATTCAAGGCGTGGGCTTCCTCGTCTCGTTGATGGTCTACTCCGCCTTCATCTACCGGCTGATGTCCCAAAAGCTCCCTCGGGAGAACGTCCGCCCCGGAATGTTCGTATCCGTGGGCCCCAGTGGCTTCACCGTGTCGGGCATCGTCAACATGGCGTCTCACGCGAAGCGAAGCTTCCCCAGCGATTTCATGGGCAACGGACCCCTCGCAGCAGACATTGTGAAGGTCGTCGCAGATTTCTCGTGTTTATGGCTCTGGGGGTAAGTGCATACCATCCCTGATCCTTGGTCTTTTGCGCCAGCCAAGCCAACGTTTCCTTTCTCTAGACTAGCGCTTTTCTTCTTCTTTATCGCGAGCTTCGCGCACTGGTCGGCGATCGGGCCGGGAAAGATGGTCTTCTCCATGGCGTGGTTCTCGTTCGTATTCCCGAACACAGCATTGATCACGGCGACCTTTGCGATTGGGAAGGCTTTCTCCTGCAAGGCGATCAATATCATCGGATGCGTGATGGTTCCGCCTCTGATCTTGATGTGGCTGTTTGTGTGCTACATGATGGTCCGGGCGATCGTGACGCGCCAGATCCTCTGGCCGCAGAAGGGCGAGGATAAGGATGAAGGCGGATTCGAGATCCGTCAGATCAAGCCCGAGTCAGGGCAAAGTACACCTTCTGAAGAGGTCTGACTGTTCGGACTGTCTGGATCCAACCTGGCTTGAAGCACATATACCTGTAATGATCGAGTATATACTAGACATTTAAAAGTAATGAGCTATAATACTTCCTCGGTGGGCTACACCACTGGCCTGCCTGCAGTCCAGTCCATTCCTCAAACTAGAAAGCCCCACACGCGCCCCACAGCCCCAGCACCTTCCCGCCCACCAATCAACAGCCCCTCAGAAGCAAACACTGCAAACACCGACACAATCTCCCAAGAAAAAAAAGTGTAGTGATGGATGGGATGGCTTCAAAAGTCCGCGCCGTATTGCGACCAACTTCCCCTCCTTGTCCACGCCGCCCACCCAACTCTCCCATCCGACGATCCGGCGATAAGTCCTGTCGCCAGTGACCCTAGTACCCTCGGAATCTCTCCCTCTCCGGTCCAGAAACACCAGCACACACGACCCCTCAATCGCGCAGGTCTCGCACCGCAAACCGAGTCACGATGACCGACGTCGGCAAAACTCCTTTCATCAAGGAGCTCGCCTCCAGCGGTATGCCTTTCATCCCCACAAGCCAACCTCCCCCTCAAACGCAAACTAACAGGCGACCAGACAAAAAACTCCGCGACAAAGCCACCGCCTCCCTCACGCTCTTCCTGCGCGCCAAAACCGACCTCTCGAACCTCGACCTCCTCAAACTCTGGAAGGGACTTTTCTTCTGTGCGGCCCCCGCCTTTGCCCCCACCCCCCAATGCCCCAACAAACCTACACATCCCCCCAAACCCCCCATGTGAAAACCAGACCAGGACCGGACAGGACGAGAATGAAAAGTCTAACAGACGATTAAAACAGGCTTCTACCACTCGGACCGCCCGCTGACCCAACAAGCGCTCGCGCGCACGCTCTCCTACAACCTCGTGCCGACGCTGCCGCGCACGACGGTCCACAAGTTCCTGCGCGCCTTCTGGCTGACGATCGGCCGGGACTTCCACTCGATCGACCGCCTGCGGCTGGACAAGTACCTGTTCCTGATCCGGTGTTACGTTGGGGTGGGCTTTGAGGTGTTCCTCAAGGGGAACACGGGCATCGTGAATGGTGCTGGGGCCGGTGATGCTGCGGACGGCAAGAAGCGCAAGCGGGAGGAGGAGAATTCCAACACCAAGAAGGGGGGCAAGAAGCGGAAGGGTAAGGGGCAGCAGCAGCAGCAGCAGCAGCAGCAGCAGCAGCAACAACAAGAAGAGGAGCAGCAACAGGACACAAAGACCGAGGAGGTGGATTTGCAAGCGCTGGAGTCCTACCTCGCCATCCTGGAGGAGGGACCGCTCTGTCCCCTCAATTTCGACCCGGATCAGCCCCCGGCCAACGAGGCGGAGGATTTCGTCCCCATGCCGCACGGCCCGGATGGGTTGCGGTACCATGTGATGGATATCTGGGTGGATGAGTTGGAGAAGGTGCTGGAGTTCGAGGAGGTCACGACGGCGGAGGGGACGACGGCCAAGAAACCCAAGGGCCCGGTGCCGGCGGAGTTGCTGTTGCGGCCGCTCGAGAGGTTGAGGAAGGAGAGTCCGTACAAGCCGGTGCGGGTGCGCGCGGCCGAGGCGTTGGACGATGAGCGGTTGGTCGAGTGGGGGTGGAAGGAGCGGAAGGTCGAGAGTGATAGCGAGGATGAGGACGAAGACGAAGACGAAGACGAAGAGGATGAGGATGAGGAATGGGGTGGGTTCGGCGATGAATAGATGAGAACGAACAACATAAACAAAAGTTTCTTACTTCGCGAAAGGGCTGACTCGGAGTTAGGTTCATGTACCGTACTTGCATATGCTATGTTTTTATTTTCTTTGGTAATCCTTGTTTGATGCTCCGGTCCTGCAGATGCGGAGATTGAACATTGAATAATTTATAACAATATCTATACAAACTCTATCAGCTACCCATTCTTCTCTTTTCTCTAGGTAGTCTACACTATGTATGTATCTTGTCAGGAAAGGTTGATCCAACCCAAAACAGAAAGCAAGCCAGTGCTTTCCTCAAAACTCAGGGTATCATCGGAGTGCAAAAACTGGAAAAATAAACTGAAGCAAAAAGGTGGGAATACCCAGTTCCATCGACCGGTTCGGCCCCTAAGGCCTGGGTCCCTCTGCCTCGTACAAGTGTCCGGACTTCGACAGCACAGTGCCGAGACCTTTGTGGATCTCCCCCTGGAAGGCCTCAAAAGGAATGCTCTCCCCATCCACGCTGATGTATCCCTCCTTCTCCCGAGGGACAAGCCGGTATGCTAACGCCTTGCGGATATTGACTTCGGGCATATCAAAGAAACCTCCCTCGGGGATCTCGGTCATCATTTTGAGAGATCTCAGTCGACTAACAGTTCCATCGATGGTGACAATGTCCATAAGTCCGTCATTAGGCACCGATGCAGGGAAGAAGTTGGTATCTTTCGACATAATGGCCATTTTGCCCGCATAAAAGTTGCCCAGCGTCTCGGCCGGGATCACCTCCCAATCCTTGGGCAACTCGTCCTGTACAGTTCCGTAGACGAGCTCAGGCAAGCCACCAGACTGGTCTGCAGTAGGCTCAGCAGGGCGTCCAGTGGGCTGGCTTTGCGCATAGGTGTTGTAATGGTTCTTGATCGCCTGCTTATCATCCATGACCACCTTGATCGCGAGGTCGCAGGGATAGACTGTCATGTGCATGAGCCGCTTGAGGAACCCATATGTGAAACGATGAGCCCCCATCCAGCGAATATCGTCGGTCCCCAGATCAGATTCAGCGATGATTCCAAAGGACTGAGACAGAAACGACAGAGTGCGGGTGTTCCCCTGGGTGATCGACACCAGATCCAGCGGTGTCCGCAAGCCCTTCACGATGGCCAAAGCTGCCACCGAGATACTGCCGGTTCCGCACAGATTCCACGTCATGGCGTTGCCCGATCCACCCGGGAGCAGGGCCACGGCCACCTTGGCGAGCGCTTCACGTGCATTGGGCTTCTGCGCCAATCCGTTGAAGACCTCATACGGCAGCCCATCGCCGGAGCAGCATACAATCGCATCGTATGCGTTGATGTCGAGTTGTTGCACAATCTCCGTCGCGTGACCGCGGTGCGTGGTTTCCTGCACGTCAATCTGACAGCGTGCCGAAGCAAGGATGGGCGCTGCATATGTCGAATACAGCTTGGCAGCGTGACCCTGACCACCGAAAGGATTGATCAAAACCTTGAGTCTCTTGGTACGCTGGGCGGAGCCGTAGGCGGCGTCGAGTAACTTTTTCATCCAGGTTTCGGCAGCGCTCTTCTCCTCCTCGCGGATCGAGTATTGGAGGGCGGCCACGGAGACTTCGTCTTTGTGCTTCGGCTCCGCATAGGTGATTGTCAAACCAGCCGGCGAAAGATCGGCGTCCAGTACATTGTACAAAGAAATAGTGTGGGAAATTCTGGTAGCTAGAGCCGTGGAAAATTGTCAGGCCAGGGCTGCTAGGCTTTTACTACCGTCGTGGAATCGTGAGTTGGAGTTACCTGCATCCTTCCGAATCCGCACTGTACAGCATCCGCGCTCGGATTTGCGGCCGGAGCGTTCGTCTGCGCGCACCCGAGGTTGTGGTTAGCCACGAGAACGATGGAATCAAAATATTCAAACCAGCAATTGAGCATCTAGACCTACCGACAACGAGCAGAGAATCGCTTCCCAGTGTTAGGGTGATCGAGTCGCCTACTGCGAGGGTCGCATCGTGCTGTAAGAGCTGATCCGACACATCCGCGGTGTTGAAGGAGGGCCGCGAGTTGCTATCGGCGGTCGTAGTAGCCATGATAAAGCCCGGCAGGAAAGCCGAGAGAGGGCGACACAGACGGAGGAGATTCGGAAGAACTGCCAATGAACAAAAGGCGAAGTAAGGATACGGGAACAAGCAATACCCAAAAACAGGATAAGAATAATCTAAGAATAAAAGCAGAGCGGGCAGTAGATAAGTCTTAGGTGAGGAGGAAAGCAACATGAAGTGGTTGAAGGTGGAAAATGGGGCAAAGGGAAAGAGAGAACTGAGGTAACCAAAGCGGAACGGAGATTATGCCCGGTCTTTATCGAGCAAGGCTCAGGAACGAACGGTCCCTCCACCGGACCCTCTCTCGCCCTCTCCACTGGGTGAGTTTCGCCTCTGCGTCTCCCTCTCGCCCTTCTCCCTCTCTCTCGCTCTCGCTTTCTCTGTTCCACCTCTCTCGATGTCTACCGGACAATCCCCCACATCCGATTCCAGAATTCCCCCAATTTTGTGGAATGGAGATCGCCTGTCATTTGCGGAACCAAACCAGCGTCTCTTTGGAAACACTCCACTGCTTCACCATCGGACCAATTGGTTTCAGCTCGCCATCCCACAGACTGTGGTCCAGAACTGGAACGAACGGCCTACGACAACAATGAACCCATCCGGTGCTCGTTGGAATTCTAAGAAATCTTTCATTGAGTAATAAAGTCTTTTCTCATCCGGTACAAAACAGGAAGAGGCATAATAATCAACAGAATTCGTCCATTAGAAGAACACAGAAGAGTGAATAGGTGCATAAGTTCAGATAAATCGGTGGGTGGGTCCAGCAACAACAGGGTAATGGCTATTCAAATACGAGTCAAAGGCAACACTTTATTCATGCCGCAGATGCCTTGAGGCCCTTCAGCGACCCCAGGCTCAAAGCCAGTCCCTGCGAACGACTTCTTATCCGCACAAAACCGGTGATCGGTCCATCATCACCCTCCTTCTCAATGCTCAGGTTTGCCAGAGCGTCCTCGCCTGTAGAACATGGGTCAGCAACAGGATCATAATTCGTGTTGGCGGAGAGGGCCGACACTTACCAAATACGCTCCGGGCATATAGGTTGGCGCTCAGGAACCGACAGTCGCCCTTGAGGGAGGCCTCGGGAGTCAAGCAAGCCATGTTGGTGCTCTCCATGAGCTGCTTGAGGAACTCTCGAAGGCTCTTGGCCTTAGAGTTGATGTTTACCTTGTTCTCCCACTCGAACTCAGTCCACATAGTCCGGAACTGAGTCTCAGTGCAATGCGCGGGTTGGATGTAGTCCATGATGTCTGCATGGATGTCGTTCAAGATCACCACGTGGGTTTCCGTCGAGCTAG